CCCCCACTCACCCCCCACCCCCCACTCACCCCCCACCCCCCACTCACCCCCCACTCACCCCCCACTCACCCCCCCCCACCCCACCCCCCACTCACCCCCCACTCACCCCCCCCACCCCACCCCCACTCACCCCCCCACTCACCCCCCACTCACCCCCCACTTGCCCCCCACCCCCCACTCACCCCCCACTCACCCCCCACCCCCACTCACCCCCCACCCCCCACTTACCCCCACCCCCCACTCACCCCCCACTCACCCCCCACCCCCCACTCACCCCCCCCACCCCACCCCCCACTCACCCCCCACTCACCCCCCCCACCCCACCCCCACTCACCCCCCACTCACCCCCCACTCACCCCCCACTTGCCCCCCACCCCCCACTCACCCCCCACTCACCCCCCCACCCCCACTCACCCCCCACCCCCCCCCCACCCCCCCGCCCCGCTGCAGCTGAACTTCGTGCGTCTGCAAGCTCGCCGCACGTGGTCCGAGTCTCGCGACCACTGCCGCCAGCAGGGGGCCGACCTGCTGAGCCTGCACGGCCGCTCGGAGGCCATCCTCCTGCACAAGATCTCCAGGTGGGCCCTGGGGGCCCACGCACGGGGGCCTGTCGTCCGTGATTGTTGTTGTTGTTGATTGTTGTTGTTGTTGATTGTTGTTGTTGATTGTTGTTGTTGTTGATTTGCTGCGACAAGGCGTCAGCCGTTTGCAGATGCCAATTACTGGATCGGCCTGAACAGCCTGGACCCGGACAAGGGCTTCGTGTGGAGCGACGGCACGCCAGTGAGTGTGTGCACACGGCCCGCTCACACACACGCTCACCAATCGGCTCACCAATTCACCCTGCCGCCCGCTCAGCCGCTCACCCACGCACTCACCGCACTCACCACACTCACCGCACTCACCGCACTCACCACACTCACCGCACTCACCACACTCACCGCACTCACCACACTCACCGCACTCACCACTCTCACCGCACTCACCACACTCACCGCACTCACCACACTCACCGCACTCACCACACTCACCGCACTCACCGCACTCACCACACTCACCGCACTCACCACACTCACCGCACTCACCACACTCACCGCACTCACCACACTCACCACACTCACCACACTCACCGCACTCACCACACTCACCGCACTCACCACTCTCACCGCACTCACCACACTCACCGCACTCACCACACTCACCGCACTCACCACACTCACCGCACTCACCGCACTCACCACACTCACCGCACTCACCACACTCACCGCACTCACCACACTCACCGCACTCACCACACTCACCACACTCACCACACTCACCGCACTCACCACACTCACCGCACTCACCACACTCACCACACTCACCGCACTCACCACACTCACCCACGCACTCACCGCACTCACCGCACTCACCACACTCACCGCACTCACCACACTCACCGCACTCACCACACTCACCGCACTCACCACACTCACCACACTCACCGCACTCACCACACTCACCGCACTCACCACACTCACCGCACTCACCACACTCACCGCACTCACCACTCTCACCGCACTCACCGCACTCACCACACTCACCGCTCTCACCGCACTCACCACACTCACCACACTCACCGCACTCACCGCACTCACCACACTCACCGCACTCACCACACTCACCGCACTCACCACACTCACCGCACTCACCACTCTCACCACACTCACCGCACTCACCACACTCACCCACGCACTCACCGCACTCACCGCACTCACCACACTCACCGCACTCACCACACTCACCGCACTCACCACACTCACCGCACTCACCACACTCACCACACTCACCGCACTCACCACACTCACCGCACTCACCACACTCACCGCACTCACCACACTCACCGCACTCACCACTCTCACCGCACTCACCGCACTCACCACACTCACCGCTCTCACCGCACTCACCACACTCACCGCACTCACCGCACTCACCACACTCACCGCACTCACCACACTCACCGCACTCACCACACTCACCACTCTCACCGCACTCACCGCACTCACCACACTCACCGCTCTCACCGCACTCACCACACTCACCACACTCACCGCACTCACCGCACTCACCACACTCACCACACTCACCGCACTCACCACACTCACCACACTCACCGCACTCACCACATTCACCGCACTCACCACTCTCACCGCACTCACCGCACTCACCACACTCACCGCTCTCACCGCACTCACCACACTCACCACACTCACCGCACTCACCGCACTCACCACACTCACCACACTCACCGCACTCACCACACTCACCACACTCACCACACTCACCGTACTCACCGCACTCACCACACTCACCGCTCTCACCACACTCACCGCACTCACCGCACTCACCGCACTGCAGGTCACAACACTTCTCTCTCTCTGCTTCTCCCCCTCGCTCTGCTCCCCATTTAGAATTCCCCTCTCCTCCCGTCGTCGTCATCGTCATTGTCGTCATTGTGGTTATCGTCATTGTCGTCGTGGTCATCGTTGTCGTCGTCGTCATTGTCGTCGTCATTGTGGTTATCGTTGTCGTCGTCATCGTCACTGTCGTCGTCATTGTTGTCATTGTCGTTGTCATTGTCGTCGTCGTCATTGTGGTTATCGTTGTCGTCATCATCGTCATTGTCGTCGTCATTGTGGTCATCGTTGTCGTCGTCGTCATTGTGGTTATCATCGTCGTCACTGTCGTCGTCATTGTGGTCATCGTCGTCATCATTGTCGTCATCGTCCTCGTCATTGTCGTCGTCATTGTCGTCGTCATTGTGGTCATCGTCGTCATCATTGTCGTCATCGTCGTCGTTATTGTGGTCATCGTTGTCGTCGTCATCGTCACTGTCGTCGTCATTGTCGTCATTGTCGTTGTCATTGTCGTCGTCGTCATTGTGGTCATCGTTGTCGTCATCATCATTGTCGTAGTCGTCATCATCGTCGTATTGTCGTCATTGTCATCATCGTCATTGTCATCATCATCATCATCGTCGTCATTGTCGTCATTGTTGTCGTCATTGTCATCATTGTCATCATCATCATCATCGTCATTGTCGTCATCGTCATTGTTTTCATCGTCGTCGTTCTCGTCATCATCATCGTCATTGTCGTCATCTTCATCAATCATCATCGTCCTCGTCGTCTGCATCTCCCAAAAACAAAATGCCCTCGCCCCAATTTGAACGGAGCAGCGCCGCCTTCTTTGACTCGTGTTGGTTGTCCCCCCCCCCCCCCCCCCCCGCTTCCCCCGTGTGTTCGCCGGCCGCTCGGCGGGCCCCGGGTGCCCCCGTGGGGCCCTCGCGTGGCCCAGGTGTCCTTCAAGAACTGGGGGCGCGGGGAGCCCAACAACTACGGCAACACGGAGCACTGCGGCGAGGCGAATCGGGGCTGGGCCTCCGAGTGGAACGACATCGACTGCAACGGGTTCAGGAATTGGGTGTGCAAGGTGGCACGAGGTGAGCCTGGCTGGGGGGTTGGTGGGTGGGTGGTGGGGTTGGTGGGTGAGTGGTGGGGTTGGTGGGTGGGTGGTGTGTTGGTGGGTGGTGGGGGGTTGGGGGGGAGCCAGGATTGAGAAGCAGATGTGCGGAACGTGGAGCCCCCCCCCCTAATGGAACATCTTCGCCGGTTAAAAACAATCAGGCTGGCCCGTCTACCTTCCATCCTGGGTTTAACCAGGCTGGATTGTGTGAGGAGCTCACAAATCCTTGAAAGATCTGGACAAAATCCCATCGGTGAGCTCCTCCAGCAGGCAAGGCTGCGATGGCTGGGTCATGTAGCCCGCATGCCCAGCCACCGCATGCCGAAACAGCTTTTGTTTGGCCGGATTGAGGGGGCTGGACGGGCACAGGACGGGCTAGAGAAGAGATGGAGTGATGTGGTACTGGAGGACGTGGAGCTGAGTGGACTTGCCGATGACTGGTACCAGCGGTGTCAAGATCGGCCTCTGTGGAGGAGGCTCGTGAAGGACGCTACTGGGCAGTTGGAGGCAGTCGCCCTTCAACAGGGGTGGGCAAATTTTTTGACTCGCAGGCCACAATGGGTTCTAAAATTTGCCAGAGGGGCCGGGCCAGGAACATATGGACGGAGTGTTTGTGTGAACTCATATAAATGACATGTAAAAATCATTACATGAAAGGATTTGGCCTTTAACAGGTAGCAAAGCATTTATTTGCAAAGAAATTTAACAAATTGCACGAACATGAACAATACAAAAAAAACATGTCGTAACTCCCGGTCAAAGTGCGCCATCTAATGGGGAAAGGGGGGCATTACAGGAGAAGGGGAAAGTTTAATTTAATAATAATATTTGGACAAGTTCGGCGGGCCGGATTAAAAAGCCCAACGGGCCGTATACGGCCCGGGGGCCGTACTTTGCCTATGTCTAAGCTACTTCTACAACGGAAGGCGGAGGAGTGACGCTCACAACAACGAGCGGAGCGCTTGGCAGCTAGAACACAGCAGGTTGGCGCAGTAGGGGGCACAGGTGGTGCATCGGCCAGTCATCTCGGTCAGTCAACCTGTGGCACCTGCTAGGTCTATCTCGTGATCTCCTGCCAGCGGGCGTTCGACACTTTACGTGGCCTCAAGGTGCACATGGCCTGGCACAAGCGCCGTGGTGACGTTACCGCCGCTTGGTGGCGAATGGCGGTTGTTGTGTTGTTGTGTGTGCATGGGGAGCGGTGATGCTGCTGTTAGCGCGCCGCGCTACGAACCCAGCGACCCGAGTTCGATTCCCGCTCACGGCCAACACCGGTAACGATTATCTGAACTGGTCCTTGGTCTCCCCTAGGTCCACTCAGCCTCTAATGAGTACCTGGTGATGGTGTGTAAAGACATCGCCACTTTCGGGAGACAAAGGCGGCCGGGCGTGGTGTTGGCCACCCACCCCCTTCGTGTGGCGTAGGTCCTCCTCGCTTAGCAGCACTTGCCCCGACAGTCTGTCAAGGCTATACGGTGGATCTTTGTCTTGTCTTTATTGTTGTTTCAGGCGTTGCGGTGAAGCCACCGCCAACAGAGGCGGCCCCAGGTGAGAGGGCTCCTCCTTTCGACCTCAACTTTCCACTGCTGATGGTTCACACACACACACACACAAAGAATCCCCTTAACAGACTGTTGGGGCAAGTTCTGTTGACGAGTAGCAGCAGCATCAGCACCTGTTAAGGCAGCACCACGGGCGATGCTGCTTTAAATGCAGCAGCAGCATCACCAGATGTCATGCATAGTAAAGGTCATTGTTGTTGTTGTTGGGGTTAGATCGCATGACCCTGACTGTGTCGTGAAACCCGCCACCACCCGACACAGCCCAATTAGTAAGGCTTGTCACGTACCGGCTGCGATGGCTTTTACGATGGATGATGTTGGTCGCGAAAGCCTAACTCCGCGCCAAACAGAAATCACACGATCGTGTGAAAACCGAATCTATTATAATGCATGATAGAGGCTTTTTTTGGGTTAGATCGCGTAAATGTATAAATGTGTCGTTTCAACTTGATTTGAAGCTTCCGTGACTGTAGGAATTACACTTTGGTTATTTCGGTAAAGTCACGTAGAAATTAAATAAATTAAATAATAGAGTACGACGTTTCGATTGCAACACAAGCGACCGTCATCAGGTAGAACTAAATTTGAGAGAGAGAGAGAGACAGAACACAGACACACGGAGACACACAAGCAGAGAGAGACAACACAGACACACCACAGAGAGACACACAACATAGACACACAGAGAGACAACACAGATACAGAGAGACACACAACATAGACACACAGACAGACACACAAGCAGAGAGAGACAACACAGATACACACAGAGAGATACAACACAGACACACACAGAGAGAGACACACAACATAGACACACAGAGAGACACACAACATAGACACACAGAGAGAGAGACACACAACATAGACACACAGAGAGAGACAACACAGAGACACACAGACAGACACACATGCAGAGAAAGACAACACAGAGACACAGAGAGAGAGAGACACACACAACATAGACACACAGAGAGAGACACACAACATAGACACACAGAGAGACACACAACATAGACACACAGAGAGAGACACAACACAGACACACAGAGAGAGACAACACAGAGACACACAGACAGACACACATGCAGAGAAAGACAACACAGAGACACAGAGAGAGAGACACACAACATAGACACACAGAGAGAGAGACACACACAACATAGACACACAGAGAGACACACACAACATAGACACACAGAGAGACACACACAACATAGACACACAGATAGAGACAACACAGAGACACACAGACAGACACACAAGCAGAGAGAGACAACACAGATACACACAGAGAGATACAACGCAGACACACACACACACAGAGACACACAACATAGACACACAGAGAGAGACACACAACATAGACAAAGAGAGAGAGAGACACACACAACATAGACACACAGAGAGAGACTACACAGAGACACACAGACAGACACACATGCAGAGAAAGACAACACAGAGACACAGAGAGAGAGACACACACAGCATAGACACACAGAGAGAGACACACAACATAGACACACAGAGAGACACACAACATAGACACACACAGAGAGAGACACAACACAGACACACAGAGAGAGACAACACAGAGACACACAGACAGACACACATGCAGAGAAAGACAACACAGAGACACAGAGAGAGAGACACACAACATAGACACACAGAGAGAGACACACACAACATAGACACACAGAGAGACACACACAACATAGACACACAGAGAGACACACACAACATAGACACACAGATAGAGACAACACAGAGACACACAGACAGACACACATGCAGAGAAAGACAACACAGAGACACAGAGAGAGACACACACAACATAGACACAGAGAGAGAGACACACACAATATAGACACACAGAGAGAGACAACACAGAGACACACAGATAGAGACAACACAGAGACACACATGCAGAGAAAGACAACACAGAGACACAGAGAGAGACACACACACAACATAGACACACAGAGAGAGACAACACAGACACACAGAGAGAGAGACACACAACACAGACACACAGAGAAAGACAACACAGAGACACACAGATAGAGACAACACAGAGACACACAGACAGACACACATACAGAGAAAGACAACACAGAGACACAGAGAGAGAGAGACACACAACATAGACACACAGAGAGAGAGACACAACATAGACACACAGAGAGAGACACACAACATAGACACACAGAGAGACACACACAACATAGACACAGATAGAGACACACACAACATAGACACACAGAGAGAGACACAACATAGACACAGAGAGAGAGACACACACACAACATAGACACACAGAGAGAGACAACACAGAGACGCAGAGAGAGAGACACATACAACATAGACACACAGAGAAAGACAACACAGAGACAGAGAGAGAGAGACAACACAGAGACACAGAGAGAGAGAGACACACACAACATAGACACACAGAGAGAGACACACACACACAACATAGACACACAGAGAGAGACAACACAGAGACACAGAGAGAGACACACAACATAGACACACAGAGAAAGACAACACAGAGACACAGAGAGAGAGACAACACAGAGACACAGAGAAAGAGACACACAACATAGACACACAGAGAGAGACACACACAACATAGACACACAGAGATCCAATGCCTCCTTGTCGAGGCCTTAAATAGAGAGGGGGGGGGCAGAGAGAGGGGGGGGGGGGGCCCTGCTGGGGCAGCTGCTGGAGCAGAGAAATTAGCATGGCAGTGAATCCACCCCGAAGCGACCGAGGGAAATAATATCGAATGTCCCGATGAGAGCCTGGTAAATTTTTATAGAGAGAGAAATAGTTTGAGAAAGCAAAATTTAGCAAATCTTTTGGAAATGTTAAACCCGCCACCACCCGACACAGCCAACTAGTAAGGGTTGTCACGTAAACAGAACGTGGACAATTCGTCACTAGTACAGCACTGGTGTATAGTGTAGTGTATTGTGTATAGTAGTGTAGTGTATAGTGTAGTATAGTGTATAGTAGTGTACAGTGAGGGAAACAAGTATTTGATCCCCTGCCGATTTTGTACGTTTGCCCACTGACAAAGAAATGATCAGTCTATAATTTTAATGGTAGGTTTATTTGAACAGTGAGAGACAGAATAACAACAACAAAATCCAGAAAAACGCATGTCAAAAATGTTATAAATTGATTTGCATTTTAATGAGGGAAATAAGTATTTGACCCCTCTGCAAAACATGACTTAGTACTTGGTGGAAAAGCCCTTGTTGGCTATCACAGAGATCAGACGTTTCTTGTAGTTGGTCACCAGGTATGCACACATCTCAGAGGAAGGATTTTGTCCCACTCCTCTTTGCAGATCTTCTCCAAGTCATTAAGGTTTCGAGGCTGACGTTTGGCAACTCGAACCTTCAGCTCCCTCCACAGATTTTCTATGGGATTAAGGTCTGGAGACTGGCTAGGCCACTCCAGGACCTTAATGTGCTTCTTCTTGAGCCATTCCTTTGTTGCCTTGGCCGTGTGTTTTGGGTAATTGTCATTCTGGAATACCCATCCACGACCCATTTTCAATGCCCTGGCTGAGGGAAGGAGGGTCTCACCCAAGATTTGACGGTACATGACCCCGTCCATCGTCCCTTTGATGCGGTGAAGATGTCATGTCCCATTAGCAGAAAAACACCCCCAAAGCATAATGTTTCCACCTCCGTGATTGACGGTGGGGATGGTGTTCTTGGGGTCATAGGCAGCATTCCTCCTCCAAACACGGCGAGTTGAGTTGATGCCAAAGAGCTCCATTTTGGTCTCATCTGACCACAACACTTTCACCCAGTTGTCCTCTGAATCATTCAGATTTTCATTGGCAAACTTCAGACGGGCATGTATATGTGCTTTCTTGAGCAGGGGGACCTTGTAGGCGCTGCAGGATTTCAGTCATTCACGGCGTAGTGTATTACCAATTGTTTTCTTGGTGACTATGGTCCCAGCTGCCTTGAGATCATTGACAATATCCTCCCGTGTAGTTCTGGGCTGATTCCTCACCGTTCTCATGATCATTGCAACTCCACGAGGTGAGATCTTCCATGGAGCCCCAGGCCGAGGGAGATTGACAGTTCTTTTGTGTTTCTTCCCTTTGCGAATAATCGCACCAACTGTTGTCACCTTCTCACCAAGCTGCTTGGCAATGGTCTTGTAGCCCATTCCAGCTTTGTGTAGGTCTACAATCTTGTCCCTGACATCCTTGGAGAGCTCTTTGGTCTTGGCCATGGTGGGGAGTTTGGAATCTGATTGATTGCTTGTGTGGACAGGTGCCTTTTATGCAGGTAACAAGCTGAGATTAGGAGCACTCCCTTTAAGAGTGTGCTCCTAATCTCAGCTCGTTACCTGTATAAAAGACACCTGGGAGCCAGAAATCTTTCTGATTGAGAGGGAGTCAAATACTTATTTCCCTCATTAAAATGCAAATCAATTTATAACATTTTTGACATGCGTTTTTCTGGATTTTGTTTTTATTCTGTCTCTCACTCTTCAAATAAACCTACCATTAAAATTATAGACTGATCATTTCTTTGTCAGTGGGCAAACGTACAAAATCAGCAGGGGATCAAATACTTTTTTCCCTTACTGTAAACTAGTACAGCACTAGTGTATCGTAGTGTATAGTGTAGTGTATAGTGTAGTGTATAGTGTAGTAGTATATAGTAGTAGTGTATAGTGTAGTGTATAGTGTAGTGTATAGTGTAGTAGTATATAGTAGTGTATAGTGTAGTGTATAGTGTAGTGTATAGTGTAGTATACTAGTACAGCACTAACCGGTTGTGTATTGGCGAGCCAAGCCACAAAATTTACAATCTGAGTACGACGTTTCGCCAGTAATTACAACCAGCTTCATCAGGCGACAGCCAGATGTGTGGAGAAGTCCACGTGTGTTAAACTGACGAAATATTTTGTCGTCATTATTGTTATTGTTGTTATTGTTATTATTGTTATTGTTGTTATTATTGTTATTGTTAGTATTGTTATTATTGTTGTTATTATTGTTATTATTGTTGTTATTATTGTTGTTATAATTGTTGTTATTATTGTTATTGTTGTTATTGTTATTATTGTTGTTATTATTGTTATTGTTGTTATTGTTGTTATTGTTAGTATTGTTATTATTGTTGTTATTATTGTTGTTATTATTGTTATTGTTGTTATTGTTATTATTGTTGTTATTATTGTTATTGTTGTTATTGTTGTTATTGTTAGTATTGTTATTATTGTTGTCGTTATTATTGTTATTATTGTTATTGTTGTTATTGTTATTATTGTTATTGTTGTTATTGTTGTTATTGTTAGTATTGTTATTATTGTTGTTATTGTTGTTATTATTATTGTTATTTTTGTTATTATTGTTGTTATTGTTAGTATTGTTGTTATTATTATAGTTATTATTGTTGTTATTATTGTTGTTATTATTATTGTTATTATTGTTGTTATTATTGTTGTTATTGTTATTATTGTTGTTATTATTGTTATTCATATTCTTAGCTCTTTCGGTAAAGTCACGTTGAAGGGAAACAATAAAATAATAAAATATATTGTTTTATATATTGTATTGTTTTATATATTTTATTATTTTATTGTTTCCCTTCAACGTGACTTTACCGAAAGAGCTAAGAATATGAACTACTGCAGTCACGAAAGCTTTAAATCAAAATTTAAATCAAAATTATTGTTATTATTGTTGTTATTGTTATTATTGTTGTTATTGTTGTTATCGTTGTTATCGTTGTTATCATTGTTATTATTGTTATTGTTATTATTGCTGTTATTGTTGTTATTATTGTTATTGTTAGTAGTATTGTTATTATTGTTATTGTTCTTATTATTATTGTTATTATTGTTGTTATTGTTGTCGTTATTATTATTGTTATTATTGTTGTTGTTATTATTGTTAGTGTTAGTATTTTTGTTATTATTGTTGTTATTGTTATTATTGTAATTATTGTTATTATTTTTGTTGTTATTGTTATTATTGTTATTGTTGTTATTATTATTGTTATTATTGTGATTGTTGTTGTCGTTATTATTGTTATTATTATTGTCGTTATTATTGTTATTATTATTTTTGCTATTATTGTTATTGTTATTATTGTTGTTATTCTTGTTATTGTTGTTATTGTTATTATTGTTGTTATTGTTAGTATTATTGTTATTATTGTTGTTATTATTATTGTTATTATTGTTATTGTTAGTATTATTGTTGTTATTATTTTGTTATTTTGTTGTTATTATTATTGTTATTATTGTTGTTGTTATTGTTATTATTGTTTTTATTATTAGTATTGTTATTGTTGTTATTATTGTTATTGTTGTTATTATTGTTATTATTGTTTTTATTATTGTTATTGGCGTTATTATTGTTATTGTCGTTATTATTGTTATTGTTATTATTGTTGTTATTATTATTATTGTTGTTGTCGTTACGCTTTACCCCCCTTACGCCGCGTGTCGCAACGCAGTGACAGGCCCGTCGGGGTCCCGCTGGGTGCAGCGTGGCGAGGTGGAGTACCTCCTGAACGACTCGCTGAAGCTGCCCTTCGTGCAGGCGCGGGCCGCCTGCCGGCACCTCGGTGGCGAGCTCGCCTCCATCGCTGACAAAGAGGAATGGTTCTTCCTCTATCGGAAGGTGACTCGCCGCTCACGCTGCCGCTCACTGCTGATGCTTTCTGCTGATGCTGCCGGCGATGGTGATGATGCTGCTGATGATGATGATGCTGCTACAGCTGCTGCCAGTGATGATGATGCTGCTGGTGATGATGATGCTGCTACAGCTGCTGCCAGTGATGATGATGATGCTGCTGGTGATGATGATGCTGATGATGAGGCACCCACACACTCAGTCAATAACCCACTCACTCACCCACCGGCACCCACACAATCAATCACTCACTCACTTTCTCACCCACTCACAAACTAAAACACTCACTCACCATCTCACTCATCCAGTTACTCACTCACTCGGCATCTCACTCCATCAATCCCCGACTCTGCCCCACCATCTCACTCACCCACTCACCCCACTCGGCATCCCACTCAATCAATCCCCCACTACTCCACCATCTCACTCACCCACTCACTCGGCATCCCAATCCATCAATCCCCCACTCCACTCCACCATCTCACTCACTCACTCGGCATCCCAATCCATCAATCCCCACTACCCCACCATCTCACCCACTCACTCACTCGTTCAGCATCCCAATCCATCAATCCCCCCCACTCTGCCCCACCATCTCACTCACCCACTCACTTACTCGGCATCCCAATCCATCAATCCCTCACTACCCCACCATCTCACTCACTCACCCACTCAGCATCCCAATCCATCAATCCCCCACTACCCCACCATCTCACTCACCCACTCACTCACTATCCCAATCCATCACTCCCCCACTACCCCACCATCCCATTCACCCACTCACTCACTCGGCATCCCAATCCATCAACCCCCCACTCCATTCCACCATCTCACTCACTCACTCACCCACTCAGCATCCCAATCCATCAATCTCCGACTCTACCCCACCATCTCACTCACCCACTCACTCACTCAGCATCCCAATCCATCAATCCCCCACTACCCCACCATCTCACTCACCCACTCACCCACTCAGCATCCCAATCCATCAACCCCACTACCCCACCATCTCACTCACCCACTCACCCACTCAGCATCCAAATCCATCAATCCCCCACTATCTCACCATCTCACCCACTCACTCACTCGGCATCCCAATCCATCAATCCCCCACTCTACCCCACCATCCCACTCACTCACTCGGCATCCCACTCAATCACTCCCCCACTCTACCCCACCATCTCACTCACTCACTCAGCATCCCAATCCATCAATCCCCCACTACCCACCATCTCACTCACTCACTCAGCATCCCAATCCATCACTACCCCACCATCTCACTCACTCACTCAGCATCCCAATCCATCAATCCCCCACTACCCACCATCTCACTCACTCACTCACTGAGCGGGGGGGGAGTGAGTGGGGGGGGTTAGCATGGGCGGGGGGGGTGAGTGGAGGGGGGGGTGAACGCGGGGGGGGGGGTGAGCGGGGGGAGAGGGTGAGTGGAGGGGGGGGGGTGAACGGGGGGGGGGGGGTGAGCGGGGGAGAGGGTGAGCGGGGGGTTACCTCTTCCCGTTCCGCTGTGTAGGTGGCGAGGATGGCACATGATGAGCAGTGGTACATCGGCCTGGAGCTCGGCATTGAACGTCAACCTCGGTGAGTTGGCGCCGCACCGAGGAGCAGCACCAGGGAAGACCGACACGGCGCACGAGGGGGGCGGGGGGGGCCGGCACCACGCCCGGCCGCCTTTGTCTCCCCCAGTGCCGATGTTGTACGCGTCGTGCGCCGGGTACTCATCTGAGGCTGAGTCGACCGTCGTTGATGTTATTGTTGTTGTTGCCACAGCTGGGTGGATGGAACTCCCGTCACGTGTGAGAGTTGTTGTTGTTGTTGTCACAGCTGGGTGGATGGAACTCCCATCACGTTTGAGAACTGGGCCCACAACGAGCCCAACCACGCCAACATGGAGGAGAGCTGTGGCACAATGTACTCCAGGGACGGTAGGAGACCGACACCCTCCACCTACGCCGCCTGTCCCTCGTTGTTGGGGGGCGACGATCATGCTGATGACGACGATGATGATGGCGATGACGATAGGGATGACGATGACGACGACGATTACGATGGTGATGAGGACGACGATGGTCATGACGACGACGATGGTGATGATGACGACGACGATGATGACGACGACGATAATGATGACGACGACGATGATGACGACGATAATGATGACGATGATGATGGTGACGATGACGATAATGATGACAACAATGATGACGACGATGATGGTGATGACGACGATGATGATGTTGATGACAATGATGGCGATAAGGATGATGGCGATGACGATGATGGTGATGATGGTGATGATGACGGTGATGATGGCTGTGATAATGCCGATGATAATGACGATGATGACGATGAAGGAAGAGTAGGTCCAGAATGACCCTATGGCGGGGTCACCCTCTGGAGGAGCTCCCTCTCAGTTGACGCCTCCCTCACAGGGGCACCGCGGTGGCTAGGAGATGTTAACTCCCTCGCGCGGTGTACAGGAGGTCGTGGGTTCAATCCCGACCCTGACGCCTGCTGCTGTATATTTGGAGTTTGCGTGTCTATCTCATCATCATCACGGTGGCTAGGAGATGTTAACTACCTCGCCTGGTGTACAGGAGGTCGTGGATTCTATCCCGACCCTGACGCCTCTATTTGGAGTCTGCGTGTGTCTCTGCCCGTGGACGCGTGGATTTTTCTCCAGGGTCCTCTGGGTTTTTTCCCCCTCCACTTTCAGGATCAACGAAACGCACGTTTTGAGATCATTTGGCCGACAATACATTTCCACGCGATGATAAGCCCCCTTAGTTGAGCCACCATCGATTTGGACGGCCAGGTCTCTTCTGCAAAAGGAGCTATGTAGCTCAAGTGGGGCCCAGCCTCGTGAAAAAAAGGACAGAAGATCATCGATTACACTGGTCTGTGGCCACAATGCTTCCGAAATAAATGTAGTCCAACTTTTCTTATTCTGGGTCACTGAGAATGAAAATGATGATTAAAATTGTTGATTGACTCTAGTTTTCAGGATACGCTGCTGGGTCAGTATATACGACCCTTGACTTGGGAATGGTGGAGGATAAGTTAGTTATAAAGGAAAGGGATCTCAATTTAAACCAATAAATGACTAAAATACATATTTGACTGGATCTATAAATAAATCTATGACTGGGTTTGGACAGTACTTGCTTTTTGAGCAAAACAATGAATGATGCAATCTGAACCTGGTATTGCATCATACATGATATGAATTGCATCATGTTATTCCTAGAAGCCATGGATGATGCAATCATAACTTGGCTTACAACCCTCTGATGAACAAATTGCCCTATATCAGCTCGACAAATCATACAGTGTCGTGGTCTCTTATTTGTCAATGTTTGATTTTGCAAAGGGACACATTTCTGTTTAGCCAAAGTGAGCAGAGATGCCTGGCACTTGTGTGAACAAAGCAGATAACGTCTGCTATGTTTGTGTTGAAGTGACGTTTGCATCACCAAAGCACAGTTTAACCACTATGGTTAAGAAAGCCTATCACCTTTATTTTGGCTGCAAATTTGGAGATCGGGACAAGATGTGGGCCCCACACATATGGTACAACACTTGTGCAACAAATCTTCGCCAGTGGTTGAACAGGAAAAGGAAATCTATGCCTTTTGCAGTGCCGATGATTTGGAGAGAGCCCACAAACCATATCGGCAATTGTTACTTCTGCATGGCGCCTCCAGTTGGGAAAGGTGTGTCAAAGAAGACAAAGTGGACTGTGCATTATCTGAACATTCCATCAGCTGTACGCCCAGTACCCCACGGAGAAGGACTGTTCGTTCCTGATGCACCAGCATCATTCTCACTTGAGTCAGAAGAGGATGAAACTTCTGGTCCTGAACCATCATAGTCACATGACCCCGATCCTCTCCTTACTTCCTCCTCTGAACCACACCTCATAATTTTCTTTGGTTCTTTTGGTAAAGTCACGTAGAATGAGAATAAAATAATAAATAAAATAACACAATAAAATTCTCACGGCGTTTCGGCCACACCACAAGTGGCCTTCTTGTGTTGTGGCCAAAACGTCGTGAGAATTTTATTGTGTTATTTTATTTATTATTTTATTCTCATTCTACGTGACTTTACCGAAAGAACCAAAGAAGATGAATCCTTGCAGTCACGAAAGCTTTAAATCGAAATCACACCTCATAACACAAGGTGAACTGAAAGACCTTGTCAGGGATATGGAACAACCCAGGAGTAAGGCAGAGCTGTTGGGCTCCAGACTGCAGCAGTGGAATCTCCTGGCAGGTGATGTTAGGGTTTCCATGTTCCGTGACCGTCAAAAGGATCTTGTCCCATTCCTCTTCATGGCAGGTGATCTCGTAGCCTGCAACAACATCGATGGTGCGATGGCAGCCCTCAACATCGTTCATGTTGCAGATGGGTGGAGACTGTTCATTGAGTCTTAAAGCTGTTTTGCTGCGTAATGGCAATGTTTTGCCATCAATTCCAGTTGGTCAGGCAGTCCATATGAAGGAAACCGATGACAACATAAAACAACTTTGAGGTGCATAAACTATGACCAACATCAGTGGCAGCTTCGTGGCGATTTGAAGGTTGTTGCTCTCTTGCTTGGTCTGCAGACTGGATACACAAAGTACTGCTGCTTTCTCTGCGAATGGGATAGTCGTGCGAGAGACTCCCACTACATCAAGATAGATTGGCTACTCCGACGGTCATTGGAGCCTGGGAGGAAAAGTGTTCAGAATCCACCACTTGTAGAATCAAGGAAGATTTTGTTACCACCCTTACACATCAAGCTGGGTCTGATGAAGAACTTTGTCAAAGCCATGGACAAACCACAAGCAGCTTTCAAGTACCTCCGTGGAAAATGTCCAAGGTTAAGTTAAGATAAAGGAAGGTGTCTTTGTTGGTCCTCAGATTCGTGAACTTCTTCGAGATGATGCATTTGACAGTGCGCTGCGTGGCAAGGAAAAGACGCCATGGAAAGCCTTACAGTTAGTGGCAACACATTTTCTCGGAAACAACATGGCAGACAACTACAGGGAGTTGGTGGAAAACCTCAAGGAATACAAAAGCCTTGGTTGCAACATGTCACTGAAGATACATTTTTGTTGCACTCTCATCTAGATTTTTTTTCCCACCGAACTGCGGAGCAGTGAGCGACGAACATGGCGAGCGATTTCACCAGGACATTGTGTAACTGGCCCGTCCTATTCCTCTCTCCCCGTGTTCGTTACGATGGGATAGGCCGGTTAATAAGTACAAAACAACAACAATAATAGTAGATGAGTTTGGAGGCGATGAGTGTGTGTTCTGCCCTCCTTCTGAGAATCGGATGACTCCACCACCAAGGGACACCAGAGGATTGTGTGACTGCAACTCTTTATTTCAAAGTTGTTCTTCTGAGGAGCATTCGTGCATCTGTAATTATGACCAGATGCACAGCAATCAACCCCAATTCACACCACCTCACTGCTTAACCCCTGTACTGTACAGCGTCCACCCGAATCTGAATAGGTGTCCTGTACCCTTAATTGATTACTCTACTGGTGGGCGTGGCCTACTGTGCATTCACGTGACCGTATGGGCCCAATCCACGGTCAGTATTACTTTCATTCACAATTTTTCTTGTGGTTAATTTACATTAAGCCCATACCGGCTACAATTGCAACAATGGAGAAACGCTATCAGTGCAAATGGAGCCCATCAATGCTTGCAAACTACTGCTGGACAGTGACATTTAATGAATACAAGAGACAAGCCAAGAAGCGCTGAGCAGACACTGAATGAGCACTAAACTATGTACTTATATATACATAATAGTTTTTTGCCTCTTGTTTCATAATAGATTGCATCTATACAACCCTCTTGCTGATTTTTAAAGTGTTACATGAACAGGACACGTGACATGTTATCATGTAAAGCAACCATAAAGACATGAACAGACCTAGGTTTGCAATTTACGAGCAAAACGATACTATCTACACAATATACATAGACGTAAAATGTAAAAACATAAATATCTTCAGAACAGTAGCCAATCAGTTGTATTGTCATATTTAAAATTCAGCACGTCAGAATAAATAATAAACAGCACATTTCATACTTAATCAAATCACGACGTTTCGGAAGCAACACAAGCCTCCGTCATCAGGTGGGATAGTCACAGCAAGAAGTAATTTGATGTAGTGGACTACTACAGTAGTGGACTACTACAGCAAATTACTCCTTGCTGTGACTATCCCACCTGATGACGGAGGCTTGTGTTGCTTCCGAAACGTCGTGATTTGATTAACTTTATTTTATTTTTTACCTACGTGACTTTACCGAAAGAACCAAAGAGTATGGGTCATTGCAGTCACGAAAACTTCAAATCTAGAAGCGCATTTCATTTCTGAAGCAGACGACGTCTAAAATATTGTAGACCAGTGTTTTCTGGCGGCTTCGGGGATGCCGGATTTTTAAACACGCCAGATAACCACATCATCGTTATTTGAAATAGCTTATTTTTGCACATTCTTGCATAACATTAAATGTTAGGTGTTGTGTATGTTTTTTTGTGTGGCTTTTAAAACGTGTTTACTATGCGAAATTGGCATAAATAAACATACAAATAGGCAAAAATAAATATGCAACTGTAAAAAGTTGCTGTATTTACTGTAGCGAACTTACCACTCCAATCTCGAAGACTCTGCATGACGGGGCGATGTTCGTAGCACCTTTTGGCGTTAGCCTCTGGTCTGACACCGGTAGTGAGACGAGGCCCTAAAGTCGGCTCCTGCTGTCTTTGGTGTCGGCCAATCAGTGTCAAAGACAACGCCATTTATTATTATCAGAGCAAGTTCACCGCAAGTACCGTGTGTGTGGTTAATGCGAACTTGATTCCTTGGTAAAAAAAAGGTTTCCATTTCGATTTAAAGCTTTCGTGACTGCAAGGATTCATCTTCTTTGGTTCTTTCGGTAAAGTCACGTAGAATGAGAATAAAATAATAAATTGGTAAAATAAAATAACACAATGAAGGCCGCCTTGTGTTGTGGCCGAAACGTCGTGAGAACATTAATGTGTTATTTTATTTTATCAATTCATTATTTTATTCTCATTCTACGTGACTTTACCGAAAGAACCAAAGAAGAAAAAGGTTTCTATTTGGTGTTTGAACATCTTAACACCTTTTGTATTTCACTTTCCAGAAAGGGGTAAACACTGTTCATATTATTATTATTCTTTTTGTCACACCACCACGCTCTTGTTTCAACACAACCACGACGTGTTTGACGATCGCCGGACTCGTTTACAGCCTTTGGAGCGGTTTCTCCCGGGTTTCCCCGGGATGAGGCCGGGACTGCCGGATTAAATGTTGGAAGCAGCCGGATAATCGCGCGGCGCTGGATTATAATCGATGATCAACTGGCGGCTTCGTAGTTTTTAGGGGGCCCCCTTTCCCTCCGGCAGGTGGCGCGAGCCGAAGCGGTTCGCTACACCGCGGCCTTTTTACACAAAAATGACGACGTGGCGTGCGTGCGGTGGGGCGGTGGGTTTCGTGGGGGTCGCGATTGCCCCGCTCGGTTTTCTCTCGGCTGGCGCAGGCAAATGGAACGACATCAACTGCGGCATGCCCATGGTGTTCATCTGCGAGCGCAACAACGCGTCGGCCTCGGGGCTGCCCACGCTCCCCCCCACCGCCCCCACTGCCGGCGGCTGCCCTTCCTCCTGGCTGCCCTTTGGAAACAAGGTACGGGCAGTCCTCGCGTTACGAAAAATGACATTTCGTTCCCGGAGACCCCGTTCGTAAGTCGAACCGTTGGTAAGTCTCGACCGGGAACTCAACAGTTGCACCGTGTATTTAAATGCCCGTATGGTTAGTGTTACGCAAAGCGTTACGGTTCAACAAATAGGAAAGCTTTGTTCAACTCATAAACAAGAACAAATGTAAAAAAAAAATATTTCATGGAAGCTGATTTCGTAATTGTGGTCGTTCGTAAGTTCGTAAGTGAGGGCGATCGTAAGTGAGGGTGATCGTAAGTGCGGACGTTCATAGTCGAGGACCGCCTGTATCTGTTCCCCCGCCCCCACGCGAATCGATTGGCTGGGAAGCAGTCTTCGAAATAATGAAAACCCAACGTAGCAGCGGCACCCCCTCCTGGAGCACGAGTCCTGGTGCTTGGTGTGTGTCTCTCCTGGATAGTAATAATAGCAATAAAATAAAACAACGCACGTCACCACCTTAAATAAAGGAGGATAAACATTGCCGGCGAGATCACAAATTCCGGCCTTCGGGCCTTTAAATGCCGAGCTCAGACATGCACATATCCTAGCTGCGCCACACGCCTAGTAGGAGCGAGTCTTTGAGCTGCAGTGTACCAATGATTATGCCAATTTAGATACATGTGAAAAGGACTTGGGACGAGGTAAGTGTAGTTCAACTCGATGGTTTATTTGCAGATAACGTGCAAACACATAGAGACCATACGGCACTCCAGAATGCACTCCGAGCTGTCTCTCAGGCCCCCTATATAGCCTGTACCCCCCCCCCCCCCCCTTTCTAGCAGGTTATCCTCTTCCAATCTCCTTTCCTCTTTTCACAACGGTTAGCAACCGTTCCTTATTCATTATATTTGAATCTTCCCGCCCCTCCCCTTTGCACCAATCTGATTTGAATGCTCCGATGCCTTCCAATCAGATTGGTGTGGGGGGCGTCACCCCCACCAAGCAGATTGTCAGTGGCTCTGCTACTTTTAAACTTGGCCAGCCCTGGTGAAGTCGTGAAGACTTTTGGCAGGCTACCCACCCCCCACACACACACACAGACATAGGGTTGGCCACCAGACCTAAAGCCTCACAGATGTACTCATGTCTGATGCGGTCACCACATCTACGCCTCTATATAAGGAATGAAACAGGTGGACTTCTCCGCACATCTGGCTGTCGCCTGATGAAGCTGGTTGTAATTACTGGCGAAACGTCGTACTCAGATTGTAAATGTTGTGGCTTGGCTCTCCAACACACCGGTGTGCTGTACTAGTACACTACACTATACACTACACTATACTATACACTAGTGCTGTACTAGTACACTACACTCTACACTACACTATACGATACACTAGTGCTGTACTAGTATACACTACTATACACTACACTATACTACGCTATACACTACACTACTATACACAATACACTACACTATACACTACTATACACTACACTATACACTACTCTACACAATACACTACGCTATACACTACACTATACACTACACTATACACTACGATACACTAGTGCTGTACTAGTATACACTACTGTACACTACTATACACTACACTATACTACACTACTATACACAATACACTACACTATACACCAGTGCTGTACTAGTAACGAATTGGCCACGTTCTGTTCACGTGACAACCCTTACTAGTAGGCTGTGTCGGGTGGTGGCGGGTTTTACGACACAACATTTATATATTACGCAATCTAACCCCCAAAAAAAGCTTTTGATACGTATGTTGTTCACAATTGTACCCAATACTCAAACAAAAATACACATTCCTGAGGGGGAGGTAAAACTACATTTGGTTCGAAATTTGCAGAGATTTCTTGTTTACGTGTAAGTATCGAAACAAGATGACTAAAGATATCCAAAAAGATAACAACTTTAAATGTAATGAGTTAGTTTAGAGCGCTCGACAGGGATGGCGGCCGAGATTGCATTAGTGAGGTTAGTACAGTGGTGATGTACAGTGTGGCGCTGCATTACAGCAAAGTCATCTGGTGGTGGTGGTGCAGCTCCGTGTGGTGGTGGTGTTGGTGGTGGTGGTGTTGGTGATGCAGCTCCCTGTGGTGGTGTTGGTGGTGGTGATGCAGCTCCCTGTGGTGGTGGTGGTGGTGTAGCTCCCTGTGGTGATGCAGCTCCGTGTGGTGGTGGTGGTGCAGCTCCGTGTGGTGGTGGTGGTGCAGCTCTGTGTGGTGGTGGTGGTGCAGCTCCCTGTGGTGGTGGTGGTGTTGGTGGTGGTGATGCAGCTCCGTGTGGTGGTGTTGGTGGTGGTGATGCAGCTCCGTGTGGTGGTGCTGCTCTCGTTGAAGTGCTACAGGTTCCACTCCAACGAGTCCGAGTGGGACACGTGGGTCAACAGTCGAAACGTCTGCCGCACGGCCGGGGGTGACCTGGTCTCCGTCACCAACTGGAGGGAACAAGGTCAGCGGGTTTCACCTCCTCCCCCCGCTCCTTCACTCCTTCTCATCTGCTGCCCCCACTGTCTGGAACTCCCACCCCAACCCCCCAGCGATCTCCTCTGTCCATTCCATGCCCCCGTTCAAGATATACCGTAGACTCCCCGTTGCTGGCAACTCCCCTATCATCTCACTCCACTCCCCTCCACTCACTCTCCTACCTCTCCCATCTCATCTCACCCCCCTCCATGCACTCTCCTACCTCTCCCCTCTCATCTCACTCCACTCCCCTCCACGCACTCTACTGCCTCTCCCCTCTCATCTCACTCTACTCCCCTCCACTCACTCTCCTACCTCTCCCCTCTCATCTTACTCCACTCCCCTCCACGCACTCTCCCCTCTCATCTCACTCTACTCCCCTCCACTCACTCTCCTACCTCTCCCCTCTCATCTCACTCCACTCCCCTCCACGCACTCTCCTGCCTCTTCTACCTCTCATCTCACTCTACTCCACGCTCTCTCCTACCTCTCCCCTCTCATCTCACTCCACTCCATGCACTCTCCTACCTCTCCCCCGTCATTTTGCTCAACTGGTCCTGGGCCTCCCGTAGGTTGACTCGGTCTCAAACCACGAGTACTGCACCTGGTGCGTTGAGTAACCATCTCCACTCGTGCGCTACGTCGCCCTTCATGGGCCCATCGCTCGCAGCGCTCGCCCTAACGACCGATGTGGGCGGCGGGCGATCTTTGTCTTTGTCGCAGCCTTCATTGTCAGCAACCTGGCCGCGGTGAACGGCAGAATGTGGATCGGCCTCAACGATCGAAACATGGAGGGGCGCTTCCTGTGGACCAGCGGCGTGCCCGTGCTCTTCACCAACTGGGCCCCGAAGTCTCCGCGATCGACCCACAGCAGGGTACGGACTCTCGCCGCCCCCACCCTGCCTCGTCTCAGCGTCGGGGACGCGCGAACGCAGCTTGTTCGTTGCGGAGGTCCGCGGTTCGAATCCGGTTAATTTCCGCGATGCGGTGGCGGTATTAACCGTCGCATTGATGCTGCTACTGCTGCTACGTGCCGTCTCCTTCGCTCGCACGGAACGTGAAACATCCCCGCGACGGCCGTCCGCAGAGCAAACGCTGGCCGTTGTGTGCTTGGCGGTCGCGGTCCACATCAGCAAGGAGAAACAAAAATCGCGCAGCAAATTTGACCCGATTAGGATTGACCTCTGGTCGCGGCTCCCCGCTGTGTCGCTTACTCATCGGTCGGCGCTGTTTAATCACAGCGGTCGCTTCGCATGCACCCCTCAGTCTCGGCGGCGGCGTGGTGGCGCATGATGGTGGTGTTGTTGGTGTGGTGGTGGGTTGAGGTTGATGCTGGTGTTGGTGTGATGGTGGTGGGATGGTGTTGGTGTGATGGTGGTGGTGTGTTGGTGTTGGAGGCGTGGTGCGGTGGTGCGTTTAGCGCTCTGCGCTACGAACCCGGCGAACCGGGTTCGATTCCCGCTCACTGCTAACGTCACGGATAATTATAAGAAGCAGTCCCGGGCCTTCCCGAGTTTGACTCGGCCTCATACGAGTGCCTGGTGCGGAGCCGGGGCGTGGTGGTGCCGGTCACCCAGCCCCTCGTGTACCGCAGGTGCTGCTGTTCGCTTACAGCACTTGCTCCAACAACGTTACGAGGCTATATGAGCGATGTTTGCCTCTGTTGTGGTGGTGGTGGTGGGGACAGCAAGACTGTGCTCTGCTGCTGGCCACCAGCAAGATGGAGACCGTGGGACAGTGGGAGGACGTGCACTGCGATGGAAAGCACGGCTTCATCTGCATGCAGAACAAAGGTGCAAGGCATTCCCTGGGGCACGGGGCCTGTTGTTCATCACTAGGGCCTATTCATTACTAAGCCCTGTTCACCACTAGGGCCTGTTCATTACTAGGCCCTGTTCACCACTAGGGCCTGTTCACCACTAGGCCCTGTTCACCACTAGGCCCTGTTCATCACTAGGCCCTGTTCATTACTAGGCCCTGTTCATCGCTAGGCCCTGTTCATCACTAGGCCCTGTTCATCACTGGGGCCTGTTCATCACTGGGGCCTGTTCATCACTAGGCCCTGTTCATCACTAGGCCCTGTTCATCACAAGACCCTGTTCATCACTGGGGCCTGTTCACCACTAGGCCCTGTTCATCACTGGGGCCTGTTCATCACTGGGGCCTGTTCATCACTGGGGCCTGTTCATCACTAGGGCCTGTTCATCACTAGGACCTGTTCATCACTAGGGCCTGTTCATCACTAGGCCCTGTTCATCACTGGGGCCTGTTCATTACTAGGGCCTGTTCATCACTGGGGGCTGTTCATCACTGGGGCCTGTTCACCACTGGGGCCTGTTCACCACTAGGCCCTGTTCATCACTAGGCCCTGTTCATCACTAGGTCCTGTTCATCACTAGGCCCTGTTCATCACTAGACCCTGTTCATCACTGGGGCCTGTTCACCACTAGGCCCTGTTCATCACTAGGCCCTTTTCATTACTGGGGCCTGTTCATCACTGGGGCCTGTTCACCACTAGGCCCTGTTCACCACTAGGCCCTGTTCATCACTGGGGCCTGTTCATCACTGGGGCCTGTTCACCACTAGGCCCTGTTCATCACGGGGGCCTGTTCATCACTGGGGCCTGTTCATCACTAGGCCCTGTTCATCACTAGGTCCTGTTCATCACTAGGCCCTGTTCATCACTAGACCCTGTTCATCACTGGGGCCTGTTCACCACTAGGCCCTGTTCATCACTGGGGCCTGTTCATCACTGGGGCCTGTTCATCACTGGGGCCTGTTCATCACTGGGGCCTGTTCACCACTGGGGCCTGTTCACCACTAGGCCCTGTTCATCACTAGGCCCTGTTCATCACTAGGTCCTGTTCATCACTAGGCCCTGTTCATCACTAGACCCTGTTCATCACTGGGGCCTGTTCACCACTAGGCCCTGTTCATCACTAGGCCCTTTTCATTACTGGGGCCTGTTCATCACTGGGGCCTGTTCACCACTAGGCCCTGTTCACCACTAGGCCCTGTTCATCACTGGGGCCTGTTCATCACTGGGGCCTGTTCACCACTAGGCCCTGTTCATCACGGGGGCCTGTTCATCACTGGGGCCTGTTCATCACTAGGCCCTGTTCATCACTAGGTCCTGTTCATCACTAGGCCCTGTTCATCACTAGACCCTGTTCATCACTGGGGCCTGTTCACCACTAGGCCCTGTTCATCACTGGGGCCTGTTCATCACTGGGGCCTGTTCATCACTGGGGCCTGTTCACCACTAGGCCCTGTTCACCACTAGGCCCTGTTCATCACTGGGGCCTGTTCATCACTGGGGCCTGTTCACGACTAGGCCCTGTTCATCACTGGGGCCTGTTCATCACTGGGGCCTGTTCATCACTAGGCCCTGTTCATCACTAGGTCCTGTTCATCACTAGGCCCTGTTCATCACTGGGGCCTGTTCACCACTAGGCCCTGTTCATCACTGGGGCCTGTTCATCACTGGGGCCTGTTCATCACTGGGGCCTGCTCATAACTAGGTCCTGTTCATCACTGGGGCCTGTTCATCACTGGGCCCTGTTCACCACTAGGCCCTGTTCATCACTGGGGCCTGTTCATCACTGGGGCCTGTTCATCACTAGGTCCTGTTCATCACTGGGGCCTGTTCATCACTGGGCCCTGTTCACCACTAGGCCCTGTTCATCACTGGGCCCTGTTCACCACTAGGCCCTGTTCATCACTGGGGCACAGGGCATTTCTCGAGGGAGCTAATTTCACAGGCAGGTTTTCCCGACCAGATATTCCGACTTAACAGTTTGTCTCTTGGGTCAGGTCGTCGTGCAGGCACAATGTAAAATTATGACAGCCCTCTACCACCCAGCGACAGAGCCAATCAAATCAAGTTGCCACGTGGGTATGCATGCTCCGGATGATTTGGCTCTCCCAGCCATGCTGCGTCTATCAAACGCAGCAGCGCCCTCCTCCGTGACGACGACGTTGTCAGCCACGGGGGCCCTGTACCCACTACAGACGGCCTTCCTGCTGACTACAGACGGCCTGCCTGCCGACCGCCCCCACCCCTGTCCCGCCAGACCCATCGCTGCCGAACAGGGAGCAAGCGGTTCCGTTGGCCGGCTTCATGCGTTTTGGCGACGCCGAGTTCCGGGTGCTGGAGGCGCCCCTGGGCTGGACGGCGGCGCGGTCGGCGTGCCGGGCACAGCGGGCGGACGTGGCAAGCGTTGTGAGCCCCTACGAGCAGGCCATGCTCGCCCTCATCGTCCACCTCACGAGGCCGCTCTGGATAGGGCTCAACGGGAACCTGGTCAGTCCTGGGCAAGGGGTGGCGATCATGTCAATTAAGACGATTATTATCGGCCGGACCAATAATAATGTCGTTGTAATAATGATGCAATTTGTGACGGGCGCACGTGCGCGATGTTTCGGGAATGTCGAGCGACCATGACTCTGAGGTGCAGAGTCGAGTTCTAGTGCCGATCGAAAGGCGGGCCAACGTGGTGGGGCCTTTAAGAAAGAGGTGGGGCCTTCAAGTGTCTCTTTAAAGTCTGTGCACAACGGTGCTGCTGAGAATGCACAACAGGGCAATGGGAGGGGAGAGGCAGGAGAGTGCACGACCTCCCACTGGTCCGCGTGGGTTGCCAGGCGACAGGCACGCTGTGTTGACGGGGGTCGCAATGATGCCTGGGATCAGGGGGACAAGCGACCCCTCGCCTGCCCATCGCAGCAGCTTGCCCTCGCACCATCGCCCTCCACGGGGCTCCCTCTGTGTCTCTCCCTTTGTCTCCCTCCCTCCGCGTGACTGCACCGCAGACCGGCGGCGACTTTGGCTGGACCGATGGCTGGCCGACCTCGGTGACCTACTGGGCGCCGGAGCAGCCGGCGGACGCCGGGAGCTGCGTGGCCGCGGCACAGAATCAGGGCCTCTGGACCGTCGCCAACTGCAGCAGCAAAATGCCCGTGCTTTGCAAGAAGTGGCACGGTGCCAACCGCACCGCGACACTCGCCCGCCCGCTTGCTCGTCCGCCTGCTCGCACACCCGCTTGCCCACCCGCTCGCCCACCCGCTCGCCCGCCCGCTCACCCGCTCGCCCACCCGCTCGCCCACCCGCTCGCCCGCCCGTTCGCCCGCCCGCTCGCCCGCCCGCTCAACCGGCATCGCCGCGTTTAGGCGTTCACAGTGATTTAGCGATATCCCGGTGGTGGTTGTTGTGATCTCGAATATACATAAAAAAGTACACGTCCACCGAGGAGATGGAGTGATGGCAAAATCCGTTCGCGTGCGGGGGGGATAATTGCTTGAGAAGTGATAGTGGCGACTCAGTGGAAGGAGGCCGGTGGATTCATCACGGCCGACGACGATGTACTCTGCGGCCTTAACACTGTTCTGTCGAGTTATTTGATCCGTGTGCACCTCCCGACCCCCGGCACATGCCAGTCAAGCCACCGACGGTCCCCCCCGAGGTGGAGGGCCGCTGCCCGGAGGATCCGAAGGGGACGGCGTGGGTCCCGTTCCGCAGCAGCTGCTACCTCTTCCAGAGCAGCAAGATCATCACCTGGTCGTACGCCATCCTCATCTGCAACCGCCTAGGTGACCAGCTTACAACCGCGCAACCGCAGCATCCAGCGCAACCGCACGTCCGCAGTTGAGCAACCGCAACGATGGCTGCAACCGCTAGCACGACTCAACCGCAGCAGCAAAATGCCCGTGCTCTGCTGGAACTGGTGCATCGTTTTCAAGGGCAAGGTGTCACGGCATAGACACTGGAGCTACCCCAAGTAGTGGGGGGGGGGCGGGGCTACGCAGGCAATGGGGAGGGACTACCCGAGCAGTGTGGAGGGGCTACCCTGAACAGTGGGGGGGGGGCTACCCCAATACCCCGAGCAGTGGGGGGGGGTAACACCAAGTAGTGGGGGGGGTCTACCATATTAGTAGGGGGGGCTACGCAGGCAATGGGGGGGGGGCTACCCTGAGTAATGGGTGAGGAGGGCTGGCTACCCCAAACAGTGGGCTTGGCTAGCCCAAGTAGTAGTGGGGGGGGGGGTCTACCATAGTAGTGGGGGTGGGGGCTATGCAGGCAATGGGGGGAAGCTACCCTGAGTAGTGGGGGGGGGGGCTATCCGAGCAGTGGTCGTGGGGGGGGGGCACCCAAGCAGTAGGGGGGGGGGGGGTGGTGCCTCTGCCATGACGGGCGAGCGGAGGGGCTGACCTGGTGTGTTGCCGCGCGTCCCCAGGCGGGAGGCTCGCGACGGTGAACGACCACGTGGAGCACAGCTTCATCGTGGACAACGTGAAGCAGCTCGGAGACCAGGTGGCCGGCATGTGGATCGGCATGTTCAAGAACCAGGAAGGTGAGGGGCGGCTGCGGCCACCTCGGGCCCGGTCGCTGCTCTCACCATGGCGTTGGCGGCAGCAGCGGCGTTGGTGGCAATTCCTGACGTTCGTGTAAATTTGGTGTCCTCGCGGCGAATCGGCGCCAGCAGGCCGGAGCGCACCACGTCACCGCGTCACCGCGTCGCCGCGTCACCGCGTCACCGCGTCACCGCGCCACCGTGTCACCGCGTCACCGCGTAACCACATCGTCGCAACATCCCTGTTACGAACGGAAAGTTAAAGACCAACGGCGTTGCGATGGTGGTCCATGAAACCCAACCTACGGACCCACGTCGTTAACCCAACGGAGACTCCCAGAGACCCAAAGAGACTATGAGTTCCACTGAGTCACGTCTTCCCATTTCCCCTGTGGCCCCTGCCCCCCCCCCCCCCCTCAACCCCCGCCCCCCACCCCTGCCGCCATCAGGAGAGTTGCTGTGGATGGACAACGCTCCCGTGAGGTTCACGCACTTTGAACACGACCACAACTGGCACAGTCCGCTGGAGTACTGCACCTACGTGGACACGAGAGAGTGGAGCTGGAAGATGGACCCGTGCTATCGGTTGCGGGGATACGTGTGCGAGGCACCCAAAGGTGGCCCCCTCCAGTTGACGCATCAGAGCCACGGTGGTCGTGTAGATGTAACCAGCAACACGGTGGTCGTGTAGATGTAACCAGCAACACGGTGGTCGTGTAGATGTAACCAGCAACACGGTGGTCGTGTAGATGTAACTAGCAACACGGTGGTCGTGTAGATGTAACCAGCAACACGGTGGTCGTGTAGATGTAACTAGCAACACGGTGGTCGTGTAGATGTCACCAGCAACACGTGGTTGTGTAGATGTAACCAGCAACATGGTGGTCGTTGTAGATGTCACTAGCAACACGGTGGGTCGTGTAGATGAACCAGCAACACGGTGGTCGTGTAGATGTATCTAGCAACACGGTGGTCGTGTAGATGTAACTAGCAACACGGTGGTCGTGTAGATGTAACCAGCAACACAGTGGTCGTGTAGATGTAACCAGCAACACGGTGGATGTGTAGATGTAACCAGCAACACGGTGGTCGTGTAGATGTAAACCAGCAACACAGTGGTCGTGTAGATGTAACCAGCAACACGGTGGATGTGTAGATGTAACCAGCAACACGGTGGTTGTGTAGATGTAACCGGCAACACGGTGGTCGTGTAGATGTAACCAGCAACACAGTGGGAGTGTAGTTGTAACCAGCAACACGGTGGTCGTGTAGATGTAACCAGCAACACGGTGGTCGTGTAGATGTAACCAGCAACACGGTGGTTGTGTAGATGTAACCGGCAACACGGTGGTTGTGTAGATGTAACCAGCAACACGGTGGTCGTGTAGATGTAACCAGCAACACGGTGGTTGTGTAGATGTAACGAGCAACACGGTGGTCGTGTAGATGTAACTAGCAACACGGTGGTCGTGTAGATGTCACCAGCAACACGGTGGTCGTGTAGATGTCACCAGCACACGGTGGTCGTGTAGATGTCACCAGCAACACAGTGGTCGTGTAGATGTAACCAGCAACACGGTGGTTGTGTAGATGTAACCAGCAACACGGTGGTTGTGTAGATGTAACCAGCAACACGGTGGTTGTGTAGATGTAACTAGCAACACGGTGGTCGTGTAGATGTAACCAGCAACACGGTGGTTGTGTAGATGTCACTAGCAACACGGTGGTTGTGTAGATGTAACCAGCAACACGGTGGTCGTGTAGATGTAACTAGCAACACGGTGGTCGTGTAGATGTCACCAGCAACACGGTGGTCGTGTAGATGTCACCAGCAACACGGTGGTCGTGTAGATGTCACCAGCAACACAGTGGTCGTGTAGATGTAACCAGCAACACGGTGGTCGTGTAGATGTAACTAGTAACACGGTGGTTGTGTAGATGTAACTAGCAACACGGTGGTCGTGTAGATGTCACTAGCAACACGGTGGTCGTGTAGATGTAACCAGCAACACGGTAGTTGTGTAGATGTAACTAGCAACACGGTGGTCGTGTAGATGTAACCAGCAACACGGTGGTTGTGTAGATGTAACTAGCAACACGGTGGTCGTGTAGATGTCACTAGCAACACGTTGGTTGTGTAGATGTAACCAGCAACACGGTGGTCGTGTAGATGTAACTAGCAACACGGTGGTCGTGTAGATGTAACCAGCAACACGGTGGTCGTGTAGATGTAACTAGCAACACGGTGGTCGTGTAGATGTAACTAGCAACACGGTGGTCGTGTAGATGTAACTAGCAACACGGTGGTCGTGTAGATGTAACTAGCAACACGGTGGTCGTGTAGATGTAACCAGCAACACGGTGGTCGTGTAGATGTAACTAGCAACACGGTGGTCGTGTAGATGTCACCAGCAACACGGTGGTTGTGTAGATGTAACCAGCAACATGGTGGTCGTGTAGATGTCACTAGCAACACGGTGGTCGTGTAGATGTAACCAGCAACACGGTGGTCGTGTAGATGTATCTAGCAACACGGTGGTCGTGTAGATGTAACTAGCAACACGGTGGTCGTGTAGATGTAACCAGCAACACGGTGGTCGTGTAGATGTAACCAGCAACACGGTGGATGTGTAGATGTAACCAGCAACACGGTGGTCGTGTAGATGTAACCAGCAACACAGTGGTCGTGTAGATGTAACCAGCAACACGGTGGATGTGTAGATGTAACCAGCAACACGGTGGTTGTGTAGATGTAACCGGCAACACGGTGGTCGTGTAGATGTAACCAGCAACACAGTGGGAGTGTAGTTGTAACCAGCAACACGGTGGTCGTGTAGATGTAACCAGCAACACGGTGGTCGTGTAGATGTAACCAGCAACACGGTGGTTGTGTAGATGTAACCGGCAACACGGTGGTTGTGTAGATGTAACCAGCAACACGGTGGTCGTGTAGATGTAACCAGCAACACGGTGGTTGTGTAGATGTAACGAGCAACACGGTGGTCGTGTAGATGTAACTAGCAACACGGTGGTCGTGTAGATGTCACCAGCAACACGGTGGTCGTGTAGATGTCACCAGCAACACGGTGGTCGTGTAGATGTCACCAGCAACACAGTGGTCGTGTAGATGTAACCAGCAACACGGTGGTTGTGTAGATGTAACCAGCAACACGGTGGTTGTGTAGATGTAACCAGCAACACGGTGGTTGTGTAGATGTAACTAGCAACACGGTGGTCGTGTAGATGTAACCAGCAACACGGTGGTTGTGTAGATGTCACTAGCAACACGGTGGTTGTGTAGATGTAACCAGCAACACGGTGGTCGTGTAGATGTAACTAGCAACACGGTGGTCGTGTAGATGTCACCAGCAACACGGTGGTCGTGTAGATGTCACCAGCAACACGGTGGTCGTGTAGATGTCAACCAGCAACACAGTGGTCGTGTAGATGTAACCAGCAACACGGTGGTCGTGTAGATGTAACTAGTAACACGGTGGTTGTGTAGATGTAACTAGCAACACGGTGGTCGTGTAGATGTCACTAGCAACACGGTGGTCGTGTAGATGTAACCAGCAACACGGTAGTTGTGTAGATGTAACTAGCAACACGGTGGTCGTGTAGATGTAACCAGCAACACGGTGGTTGTGTAGATGTAACTAGCAACACGGTGGTCGTGTAGATGTCACTAGCAACACGTTGGTTGTGTAGATGTAACCAGCAACACGGTGGTCGTGTAGATGTAACTAGCAACACGGTGGTCGTGTAGATGTAACTAGCAACACGGTGGTCGTGTAGATGTAACTAGCAACACGGTGGTCGTGTAGATGTAACTAGCAACACGGTGGTCGTGTAGATGTAACTAGCAACACGGTGGTCGTGTAGATGTAACTAGCAACACGGTGGTCATGTAGATGTAACCAGCAACACGGGTGGTCGTGTAGATGTAACCAGCAACACGGTAGTTGTGTAGATGTAACCAGCAACACGGTGGATGTGTAGATGTAACCAGCAACACGGTGGTTGTGTAGATGTCACCAGCAACACGGTGGTTGTGTAGATGTAACCAGCAACACGGTGGTCGTGTAGATGTCACCAGCAACACGGTGGTCGTGTAGATGTAACTAGTAACACGGTGGTCGTGTAGATGTAACTAGCAACATGGTGGTCGTGTAGATGTAACCAGCAACACGGTGGTTGTGTAGATGTAACCAGCAACACGGTGGTCGTGTAGATGTAACAGCAACACGGTGGTCGTGTAGATGTCACCAGCAACACGGTGGTCGTGTAGATGTAACTAGCAACACGGTGGTCGTGTAGATGTAACTAGCAACACGGTGGTCGTGTAGATGTAACTAGTAACACGGTGGTCGTGTAGATGTAACTAGCAACATGGTGGTCGTGTAGATGTAACCAGCAACACGGTGGTTGTGTAGATGTAACCAGCAACACGGTGGTCGTGTAGATGTAACCAGCAACACGGTGGTCGTGTAGATGTCACCAGCAACACGGTGGTCGTGTAGATGTAACTAGCAACACGGTGGTCGTGTAGATGTAACTAGCAACACGGTGGTCGTGTAGATGTAACTAGCAACACAGTGGTCGTGTAGATGTAACTAGCAACACGGTGGTCGTGTAGATGTAACTAGCAACACGGTGGTTGTGTAGATGTAACCAGCAACACGGTGGTCGTGTAGATGTAACTAGCAACACGGTGGTCGTGTAGATGTCACCAGCAACACGGTGGTCGTGTAGATGTCACCAGCAACACGGTGGTCGTGTAGATGTCACCAGCAACACAGTGGTCGTGTAGATGTAACCAGCAACACGGTGGTCGTGTAGATGTAACTAGTAACACGGTGGTTGTGTAGATGTAACTAGCAACACGGTGGTCGTGTAGATGTCACTAGCAACACGGTGGTTGTGTAGATGTAACCAGCAACACGGTGGTTGTGTAGATGTAACCAGCAACACGGTGGTTGTGTAGATGTAACCAGCAACACGGTGGTTGTGTAGATGTAACTAGCAACACGGTGATCGTGTAGATGTAACCAGCAACACGGTAGTTGTGTAGATGTAACTAGCAACACGGTGGTCGTGTAGATGTAACCCGCAACACGGTGGTTGTGTAGATGTAGCTAGCAACACGGTGGTCGTGTAGATGTAACTAGCAACACGGTGGTCGTGTAGATGTAACTAGCAACACGGTGGTCGTGTAGATGTCACTAGCAACACGTTGGTTGTGTAGATGTAACCAGCAACACGGTGGTCGTGTAGATGTAACTAGCAACACGGTGGTCGTGTAGATGTAACCAGCAACACGGTGGTCGTGTAGATGTAACTAGCAACACGGTGGTCGTGTAGATGTAACTAGCAACACGGTGGTCGTGTAGATGTAACTAGCAACACGGTGGTCGTGTAGATGTAACTAGCAACACGGTGGTCATGTAGATGTAACCAGCAACACGGTGGTCGTGTAGATGTAACCAGCAACACGGTAGTTGTGTAGATGTAACCAGCAACACGGTGGATGTGTAGATGTAACCAGCAACACGGTGGTTGTGTAGATGTCACCAGCAACACGGTGGTTGTGTAGATGTAACCAGCAACACGGTGGTCGTGTAGATGTCACCAGCAACACGGTGGTCGTGTAGATGTAACTAGTAACACGGTGGTCGTGTAGATGTAACTAGCAACATGGTGGTCGTGTAGATGTAACCAGCAACACGGTGGTTGTGTAGATGTAACCAGCAACACGGTGGTCGTGTAGATGTAACCAGCAACACGGTGGTCGTGTAGATGTCACCAGCAACACGGTGGTCGTGTAGATGTAACTAGCAACACGGTGGTCGTGTAGATGTAACTAGCAACACGGTGGTCGTGTAGATGTAACTAGTAACACGGTGGTCGTGTAGATGTAACTAGCAACATGGTGGTCGTGTAGATGTAACCAGCAACACGGTGGTTGTGTAGATGTAACCAGCAACACGGTGGTCGTGTAGATGTAATCAGCAACACGGTGGTCGTGTAGATGTCACCAGCAACACGGTGGTCGTGTAGATGTAACTAGCAACACGGTGGTCGTGTAGATGTAACTAGCAACACGGTGGTCGTGTAGATGTAACTAGCAACACGGTGGTCGTGTAGATGTAACTAGCAACACGGTGGTCGTGTAGATGTAACTAGCAACACGGTGGTTGTGTAGATGTAACCAGCAACACGGTGGTTGTGTAGATGTAACCGGCAACACGGTGGTCATGTAGATGTAACCGGCACCATGGTGGTCCTATAGATGTTACCGGTTCCATGGCGGTCGTATATATGCAGCCAATTAGTAAAGGTTTGTCACGTAAACAAAACGTTGCAATTCGTTAATAGTTCAGCACATTTGGACTCACACTACTGGTAATGTGCAGATGTAATCAGATTACTGGTCACGTGCAGGTGGAATTGGAATGCTGGAAATGGCCCGGGAGGTGGAGGGGAGGAGAAAAGACAAGGGCAGAGGAGGAAAGACAAAGGCAGAAAGACAATGGCAGAGGAGGAAAGACAAAGGCAGAAAGACAATAGCAGAGGAGGAAAGACAAAGGCAGAAAGACAATGACAGGATGAAAGACAAAGGCAGAAAGACAAAGGCAGAGGAAAGACAATGGCAGATCCTCATGGTGGCGGCCGTGGTGGTGCCGTGTGGGTTCATACTGTCGGTGTTTCCTTTGCAGAGCCACTGGCGAGCCCGGCCAAGTCGTCCTCAGAAATAGACCCCACTGGTGAGGAGGCACAGATGCTGGCGCCTACACACACACACACACCGACACACACAACAACAATCGCCATTAACTGGCGGTGACGTCATCACGGTGCCTGTGCCATGTGCACGTTGAGGCCACGTGAAGTGTCCAACGCCAACTGGCAGGTCACGGGAGAGACCCAGGTGCCATGGGTCGACTGGCTGATGCGCACCACCTGTGGTCCTTATTGTGCCAACTTTTAGTCACCCGGCACTCCACTCGTTGTTGTGAGCGTCCCTCCTCTGCCCTCCATTGTTGCTGGAGAGCGACTGCCTTCAACTGCGTCCTTCCTGAGCCTCCTCCACAGAGGCCGATCTTGACACCGCTGGTACCAGTCATCAGCAAGTCCACTCAGCTCCACATCCTCCCGTACCATATCACTCCATCTTTTCTCTAGCCCATGTTGCGCCCATTTAGCCCCCTCTATCCAGAAAAAACAAAAGCTGATTATGCATGCGGTGGCTGGGCGTGCGGCCTACATGACCCAGCCAACGCAGCCTTGCCTGCCAGGGGAGCTCACCGATGGGACTTCGTCCAGATCTTTTAAGGATTTGTGAGCTCTTCACACAATCCAGCTTGGTTAAACCCAGGATGAATCGTAGGCAGGCCAGCCTAAGTGTTTCTAACCAGTGAAGATGTTCCATTAGGGGGGTCCATGTTTCACAAGCATAGAGAAGGGAGGGCATGACCATGGCCAAGGAGACCCAAAACTTTGTGTGGAGCAATAGACTAGGTAACTTCCAGACAGCATTATGCAGCCGATGAAAAGACTGATTCGGAGTGAGACCTGTGCTGTCAAATCGGAGCCAGTCATGAGCACACTGCCCAGGTATGAAAAACTCTCCACTCTCTCCACAACTGCTCCATCACCAATGGGGAGTTGTGGGGGTGGAGTTCCTTAGCTTTGGTGGTGCTGATGGTAAGGCCCCACCTCTTAGTGGCATGCTCCAGGTTCGCCTCCAACTCCTCCTCTGAGTGAGCAGCAATCACCAGATCATCGGCATACATAACGTGGTTGACCAATAGGGAGCCATCCGTTGACCGTACCCAGGCATTGATCAGCCTCCCATTGTGTCTGTACCAGATGGAAATTCCTCCAGTACAGCCATCGAAGGCTTCACGAATACGTGGTGGAATTCATATTATTTGGTTCTTTCGGTAAAGTCATGTAGATGAAAAATAAAAAATAATAATAATGAAAATAATGAAATGAAAATATGATAATTGTTTTTTTACCCTTTTATCTGGCAACAAAACTGACACCTTTTTTACAAGGAGTCATGTTTACATTGACTACAATACCTGCGGTCGGAACGCAAACAAAAAACAACAACTCTGATAATGTATGCACTGTCCTTGAAATTGATTGGTCCACACCCGAGACAGCTTTCTTTAGAGCCTCGTCTCACATGGTGTTGGACCAGAAGACGCCAAAAGGCGCACAACTCAAAGGCAATGCACCATCAGAGTATGAGAGCTCGGGGTAAGCATTTACACCATTGGAAACCTCATTTGCCAGTAACAAAATATGATAATTGTTTTTTTACCCTTTTATCTGGCAACAAAACTGACACCTTTTTACAAGGAGTCATGTTTACATTGACCACAATACCTGCGGTCAGAACGCAAACAAAAAACAACAACTCTGATAATGTATGTGGCACTGTCCTTGAAATTGATTGGTCCACACCCGAGACAGCTTTCTTTAGAGCCTCGTCTCACATGGTGTTGGACCAGAAGACGCCAAAAGGCGCACAACTCAAAGGCAATGCACCATCAGAGTATGAGAGCTCGGGGTAAGCATTTACACCCTTGGAAACCTCATTTGCCAGTAACAAAATATGAGACAGCTTTCTAAAGAAAGCTTTCTAAAAAAAGCTGTCTCTTTCTAAAGAAAGCTGTCTCGGGTGTGGACCAATCAATTTCATGGACAGTGCATACATTATCAGAGTTGTTTTTTGTTTGCGTTCCGACCGCAGGTATTGTGGTAAATGTAAACATGACTCCTTGTAAAAAAGGTGTCAGTTTTGTTGCCAGATAAAAGGGTAAAAAAACAATTATATTTTGTTACTGGCAAATGAGGTTTCCAATGGTGAAAATTAAAATAACTAAATAAATCACGACGTTTCGGGTGCAACACAAGCGTCTGTCATCAGGTGGGAAAGCATGGTCTGCTGCTGATGCAGACTGTTTTTAAAAGGTTTGAAATGGGTGTAGCCCAAGGGTCACAAAGAAGTGGCTGGGTCTAGTGATGTTAATGTCAGAAATTAGCATGTCACTGGGTATGGAAGTGGCTATGTTAATGTGAGAAATTAGTATGATGTTAATGAGGAATTAGCATGTAACTGGGCATGGAAGTGGCTATGTTAATGTGAGAGATTAGCATGAAATACCAGCTGACATTGGCAGGTAGGGTGGAAACATCACAGTCAGTTAAGACTTTACCTGGTTAATAATGTCCTTCCAATGATTGCTCAGATTGTACCCATCATCTCGGTTGAAGTTGTGTCTATGTGTGTATATCTGGATGGCTTCATGGACAAATCTTTGGTGGTATCCAGACGGCTTGCAGAGTACTTTGGTGTCGGAGAAAACAATATCATGAGACCCTGCTTCCTTTCACGGACAAGTCCACCTCAGCTGTACTTAGCTCACTTGGATTCTCTAATCAAGGACATCTCACTGTCTCCAGATGATTTGCTTGTCAGTTTCGATGTAGTCTCTCTGTTCACCAATGTACCTGTATCTGACACCATTGCAATTATTGAAGAGTTTGTCCAACAAGAACTGAATCCAGATGTACCAACACATACTTCACCTGGAATGGTACATTCTACAAACAAAATGAGTGTACCCCAATGGGTTCTCCCTTATCTCCAGTGGTAGCGAATGTTTTCATGGAGAAATTTGAGACAGATGCCATCCGGACATCCACCCTATGTTCTCCCTTGTGGAAGAGATACGTGGATGACACGTTTGTCATCTGGCCACATGGCCTGCCAGCAATGAACCAATTTCTCAACCACATCAATTCCATACACCCATCTATCAAATTCACCATGGAAGTGGAAAAGGATGGCAAGCTGCCATTCCTGGATGTTTTGATCGAGAAGAGATTTGATGGCTCGTTGGGACATTCGGTCTACAGGAAAGCTACCCACACGGATGCCTATCTAAAGCCTGACTCCCACCACCATCCAGCCCAGAAGAATTCCCTCATCAAAACACTACACCATAGGGCCCGTTGCATCTCCGACCAGCACCACCTAGCCAGTGAACTGGAGCACGTTACCCAAGCTCTCAGGATGAACGGATACTCGGACCGTACAATCCGCAAAGCTGTCTCACCAGCCATGCAGAGACAACCTTCTGAGGATCCAACCAAAACCATCACTTTACTGTACATAGCAAGGGTTACCAAAAATCTTAAACACACAAGATCCAGGTTCGTTTCAACACAGTACACAAAATCCGTGATTTAATCCCATCTGTAAAGGATGTGATTCCTGACATCCAATACCCTGGTGTCTACAAACTAAGTTGTGGTTGCAGCAGCAGTTACATTGGGGAAACGAAACGACATGTCTCGGACCGCGTTCGTGAACACAAGGCAGATCTGAAACATGGTAGGCCCAATACCTCTGCCGTTGCCGATCATTGTTTTAACGCTGTGGGCTCACACGAAATAGATTTTTCCAAGACGGAGGTACTCTGCAAACCTACCTTCAGAGATTTGTTCATGAAGCCATCCAGATATATAAACACAGACACAATTTCAACCGAGAAGATGGGTACTAACTGAGCAATCATTGGAAGGACGTTATTAACCAGGTAAAGTCTTAACTGACTGTTATGTTTCCATCCAACCTGCCTATGTCAGCTGTTATTTCCGACTGTGTCTCTCTATGTCTCTCTCTTAGATCTCTCATGCTCACATGTCCTTTTGATTGCACTCTCATGCTCACATGCTCTTTGCATTGCACTCTCATGCCTTTGGCTTGCACTCTCATGCTCACATGTCCTTTGGATTGCACTCTCATGCCCACATGCCCTTTGCATTGCACCCGTTGGGTTGCACTCATGCCTTTGTATTGCACCACTCTCCTATCTTACAGTGACATGCTAATTTCTCACATTAACATTACTAGCCCCGGCCACTTCTTTATGACCCTTGGGCTACAGCCATTTAAAACCTTTTAAATCAGTCTGCCTTAGCAGCAGACCATGCTTTCCCACCTGATGACAGATGCTTGTGTTGCGCCCGAAACGTGATTTATTTTATTTTATACCTACGTGACTTTACCGAAAGAACCAAAGAGTAAGGAATCTTACTCTTTCAGATGGGATCAGATCACAAATTTTACGTACTGTGTTAAATCGGACCTGGATCTTGTGTTTGTTCATGATTTTGGAAATCTTTTTGGTTACCCCTGCTATGTATGGCAGGGTGATGGTTTTGATTGGATCCTCAGATGGCTCCTTCCTCAAGGTTGGGGTGATGACTTTTCAGATTGTGTAGTCAGAATATCCATTCACCTTGAGAGCTTGGTGTACGTGTTTGAGTTCACTGGTTAGGTGTTCATGGTCGGAGATACATTGAGCTCTTATGGTGTAGCGTTTTGATGAGGGAATTCTTCTGGGATGGTGGTGGGAATCAGGTTTTAGGTAGGTGTCAGTATGGGTTACTTTCCTGTAGACAGAATGGTTCATTGAGCCATCTGGTCTTTTTTATTAGGACATCCAGGAAAGGTAGCATGCCATCCTTTTCTACTTCCATGGTGAATTTGATTGCTGGGTGAATGGAATTGATGTTGTTGACACATGGCCGGTCGGCCATGTGGCCAGATGACAAACGTGTCATCCACGTATCTCTTCCACAAGGATGGGCGTAGAGTGGATGCCTGGATGGCGCCCGTCTCAAACCTTTTCCATGAAAATATTGGCTAAAACCGGAGATAAGGGAGAACCCATTTGGGTGCCGTCAGTTTGTAGAATGTTCCATTCCAGGTGAAGTATTTATTGGTGAGGCAGTGTCTCACCAGGGCCGGTACATCAGCATTCAATCCTTGTGGACCAACACGGATTGAAGAATCCTTGTTGGACCAACAAGGAGACGTCATAGACGCCTGTCCCCCGGGGCCTGCGGCACAAGCTTAGATTTTTTTCCCCACGTGGTTTAATGGTAGTTAGATTGAAGGTGGAGGGGTGACCAGCCCCTCGCACCCGTCCAGAGCCCCCTTTGGCCGCTACGGTGACTACAAATGCCATGAGGGGATTGGCCAATTGAAATTGGTCCTTCCCCCCCCCCCATGGCACTGGTCACCACAGCATTACCATCCGGCACCACGGAGGCGGTAGGGAGTTGTTTGTGCTGAACAAACACACACTGACGCACAGATACACGCTTACACGTGGCCAGCCGCCCTCTCGTGTGCTCCTCCCCGCCTCACCTTGTCCTTCGTTCCAGACCTCCCGGACTCGTTGCGCCGCGGCTCTGCCTCTGCCACAGCGGTGGGCGCCCTCGCCCTCTCTGCCTGCGCCTCCCTCGCCCTCGCCTGGGTCTGCCGGCGACGGCGGCGGCGGCTCGGGGCGCCGGGGGGCTGCCCCCCGCCGCGCTGGTTGCCCTCGCTACCGTGGGGGGGAGGCGGCGGCGGCGGCCGAGGCGGGGGGGGGGGTCGCGGTGACCGCCCGGGTGGACGAAGGCAGCTCGTTTGAGAACGCCCTTTACGGCGCCCACTCGGACGACGCCGACACCAACGCCCTCGTTCAGGACGTGGAAGAGCAGTGACTGTGGAGGGGGGGGGGCGGGAGTGGCGGTGGGTCGGGGGGGAGTGGGGGAGTGGGCACGGGAGAATTTGTACAAAGGGACCCCCCTCCCTCCTGACAACGGGCATGGGGGGGGGGGGGCCCCAGTTGGGTTTAAGGGTCACGGAGAAGCCGCTGGCGTCGTCGTTTTGATCCGATTGTTGCCGGAGGTCGCGGCTACGTTTCTGATGCTTTCTCGCACCAAGCAAAAACAAACACACCGTGCAGAAATATCCCTGGAAGAGAATCAGGAATGTCGGCGCTCCCAAGCGTGCACGGCAAGGAGGCTGTCCTTGCCCCCCGCACCTTCCGATTTGCCCGGTTGGCTACGCACGGCGCGAAAGAAGTTCAACGTACATCTCGGCCTTGCCTCGACCACCAACTCAAGATATTTCGCCAAGGCTGTGCCGATCGCAAGCGGCGGGAAGGCATGGCTGCCGTGCAGTCGTCTCGGCCTTGTCTAGACCACCAGCTCGTAGAGAGACGAACGTGCGGCTGCATTATCGTTTCGGAACACGCGAATCAGGGCCCCAGAATTATTATTTTTGTCGGCCCGCGAACTGAAAACGGCCGTCGATTGAGAGTTTACCGCGCACGCACACCCAATTTAAGATAATTGCACTCGTTTTAAACACTAATCTGCGACAAGCGTTTAATTTGTTGAAAATTCCCGAACTACGATCGGAGCGTCGGTCCCACTGGGGGCGTTGGGGTTAGAGTGTCAGCTGTAAATTTCCGCGTGACGATATCAGCCACTTCATCGCGCTATCAGGTCGCTCCTGAAAGAGAGCTACATAGCTCAGTTGGGCCTTACCTGGTACATTAAAATAAACGTTGCTTTTATTTTTACGCAGGAAGTCATTCCGAATTCCTGGATTTCTTTTAATTCCTTACTGCCTGGACCTTGTCCTGATGATATTCCACGGTGTCCTCATGGTTGATCTACACCGTGGAGCGTTTCGTCTCGACCCGCGCCTCGCACAGCCAACAGCCGATCACGGGAATCGGAGCATCGTAATTTTATTATCCCCCCCCATCGCATTAATTGTCGCTAATTACTTGAGTCAGTTAACCCCCCCCCCACCACCTTGTGCACTACCTACACGCCGGCTTGCGCCGTTTGTGATAAATAAAACATGAGATTGTGGAGTTTTAAAAGGTCTTGCGTTTGTGGAAGAGTGGTGAGCGGTTCTGGAGCGAGCGTTTTTTATTATTTCAGGTTCCGGCAGTCTTGGTCAAAGGGGCACCTCCCCCCATCCCACTCCATCCCATCCCACACCATCTCACCCCATCCCACCTCACCCCATCTCACCCCACCCCACTCCACCCCACCCCATCCCACCCACCCCATCCCCCCCATCATCCCCTATCCCACCCCACCCCATCCCCCCCATCATCCCCCATCCCACCCCGCCAGTGGCAGCTGCTGTCCCTGTGTGACACAGGGGCGACTTCAACACCCGAGTCGCAAACAGGGCCCACGACTGGGCCCACGACAGGGCCCCACGACTGGGCCCCACGACAGGGCCCCACGACAGGGCCCACGACAGGGCCCCACGACAGGGCCCCACGACAGGCCCCACGACAGGGCCCCACGACAGGGCCCCACGACTGGGCCCCACGACAGGGCCCCACGAAGGGCCGCGCCACTTAAAGGGGGGGGGGGGGGTAGCCCGAGGACGGCCCAGCCTTGCGCAATCCCCAGCGGGTAAGAAACGCACGGAGCGACGCCACGGGCTGCCCGTGGTGGTACGATGTCACGGGATAGGTGGGGGGGGCTGCGCGTGGTGCTTTGGGGGTGACGTCGCGCACCGCCAAAGTTTACCGGGGCAGGGGGGCGGCCGCGCCGATCGCCGGTCACGCTGGCGATTTAGAATGACCACTCGCGGGGGGGGCGGGGGGGCGAGAGAAGGAGATGTTAGCTTTTTTGCGTTTTATTAACTTAAGGTGAAAATGGCGTCGTGGCGAGCTCACAAGACGAAAGTGGAAGACCGCGCGAGGGTTTGTGGGGCTCGCCACCTGTGTGTGACGGGGGTTTGAAGGCGCGCGGCACGCTGGGTGACTTGTCACGAAGCCTCCCACTTGCGCCGCGGTGCAGCCGCTGCCGGCGAAGCTGCTTCGCGAACTGAGCGTGGCGCGGAAACATCGAGCCGATCGACGCCGCTGGGTTGGGGCGGGGGGGGGGGCAGTGGAAGTGGGGTTGGGAGGGGGGTGAAGGGGAGGAGATGAACGTGACTCCGGCGTCGCCCCCCCCCACTCCGTTGATTGCCCCGGCAACTCGGAGCGCATCGCGCTACTGTGGTCGAGCCTCGGGGCCCCCCCCCCCAGCCCTCCCAAGCGGTGGCAGCTGTTCCTGCGCCTCATAGCTGGGACTATGAGGTTTGTGGGTTGGTCACTGCGCGCCGCCGGCGCCGGCGCCCTCCAGCACCGCGCTCTGCACCGCGGCCAGCTGCTCCGTCACCCTGCGGAGCTCCTCACGCAACGAGCCCAGCGAGACGCCCGCCGGCTCCACCTCTCCCTCGTCGTCGTCGTCGCCGTCGTCGCCGTTACCGCCGTCGCCGGCGTCGCCGGCGTCGCCGGGCGAGCGTCCTTCTCCCCGTGCGGCGGAGGTGGCGGCCGCCGCCTCGGCAATTCTCGCCTCGAGCTCGCCGACGAGCCTCTCCTCGGACCGCGCGACCGCGTCGCCGACCAGCTCCCGCAGGCGGTCGGCGGCGCCGGCGCTCTCCGCCGCCGCGCGCCAACGCTCCTCCGCCGCGCGCACGCGCTCCACCGCGTCGCCCACGGCCGCCCGCAGCTCCTCAACCTCGGCCGCCACCTCGGCGCCGCCGCCGCCGTCCTCCCGGCCCCGCGCCTCCTCCAGGCCGGCGAGGCGCCCCTCGAGGCGGCCCAGCCGCTCGCTCGCGGCCTCCCCCTCCCCGCTCTCCGCCGCCCTCTCCTCGAGCGCCGTCACGGCCTCGGCCACCTCGCCGAGCCGCCCCTCGTGGTCCTCCGCGGTCCGCCGGAGGCCGTCGACGTCGCGCCGCGCGCCGTCCAGGGCGGCCTCGGCGCGCCCGCGGGCCTCCTCCCAGCGCTGCGCGGCGGCGTCCAGCGCGGCGCGGAGGGCGCCGAGCTCCCGCGACGCCTCCGCGTCCCTCTCCCGCCGCTCCTCGGCCGCCGCGGCCACCTGCGAGGAAAGGCGCTCCGCCAGCGCCCGCCGCTCCGCCGCGCCCTCGCCCGTCGCCGACTCGAGCCGCTCGAGGCGCTCGACGCCGGCCTGCTGGGTGCGCCGCAGCGACTCCAGGCCGCCCGACAGCTCCTCCAGGCGAGGCCGCAGCCCTGCGGGCGGTGGGACGCGCGGGGGGACCACGGGTAAACGACCTCGACCTTCCACGCGCGGCCGTGAGGAGCCGTGCCAGCAGAAGGCGGCGGTGGCACAGCGGCAAAGCGCCCGCTAATATCCATCCGTTCCATCTGCACGGGGATGGAGCGTTACGCCCTCACGAGCACGCGTGGCTCTGCTTTATGAGCTCCGGTTTCCTCTTCCCGTGGTGCATGACCACTCGGTATTAATGAATCTACGAGAGCGAGGGGACATTAAACTATCAAAGATCGACTTATAAGTCAGGGGGCAGGCGAGTGAGCAAGCGAGCGAGCAGGTGGGTGAGTGAGCAAGTCTGTGGGTGAGTGAGTGAGCGGGCAGGCGGGTGAGTGAGTGTGCGGGTGAGTGAGTGTGCGGGCAGGCAGGTGAGTGAGCGAGCGAGTGTGCGGGTGAGTGAGCCGGCAGGTGGATGAGTGAGTGAGCGGGCGGGCGGGCTTGTGGGTGAGCAGGTGAGAAAGCAAGCGAGTGAGTGCGTGAGTGAGTGAGAGAGTGAGCCGGGCGTGTGAGTGAGCAGGCGGGTGAGTGAGTGGAACTGGTCAGTGTGCGGGTGAATGAGTGAGTGGGTGGGCGAGCGAGTAGTGGGTGAGTGAGAAAGTGAGCGAGTCAGTGGGTGAGAGAGTAAGAGTGAGCGGGCGAGTGAATGAGCGGGTGGGCAGGCAAGTGAGCAAGCGGGTGAGCGAGTAAGAAAGCGAGTGAGCGGTAGAGCGAGCGGGCGGGTGAGTGAGCGAGCGGGTCAGTGGCCGAGTGAGTCGGCAAATGGGCGAGCGAGTAAAAAAGCGAGTGAGCGGTAGAGCGAGCGGGTGATGGAGCGAGCGAGTGAGCGGGTGAGTGAGCAAGCGGCTGAGCGAGCGAGCGGGTCAGTGGCCGAGCGAGTCGTCAAACGGGCGAGCGAGTGAGAAAGCGAGCGAGAGGGCGAGCGAGCGGGCGTGGTTCTGACCGTCGTCCCGCGCAGCGACTTTTTCGCCGAGCTCCTCCACGGCGAGCAGCCTCCGGAGCACGTCGCTCGTCTCCGCGTCGACGCGCTCCCGCCAGGAGGCCGCGGCCGCGACCTCCCGCCGGAGCTCCTCCCGCCGGAGCTGCTCCTGCCCGAGCTCCCGCGCGAAGGCCGCGATGTCGACCGCCAGGCGGCGCTCGAGCGACGCGAGGGAGTCGCTCGCGGCGCCGTCGGCCGCGTCGAGCCGCGCCGCCGCCTCGTCCAGGTCGCGCCGCGTCCCCTCCGCGGACACGCGCAGCGGCTCCAGCTGGGGAGGCAGGGCGGGGAGACACGGGCGGAGGGAGACAGATTAACTCATTGTGAACGGTAATATCGGCCGTGAAAGGCTGCGTGCGAGAAAAAAACCAAATGTGATTTGCGGTAACAGCGCCGTGGCGACCTTCGATATCGTGCCACATCGCGGGGAGCCTGCACGCCGCAGAATTAACCAGGGCGGCCTGTCGGGTTCCAGCCGCGCACCTCTGCAACGAGCGGCTCGCCAGCGTGAGAGCGGGGTGCCACTCCCCTTCGCGTGCCGCGCCGGCCTTCGCGGCACTCGCTCCCCACAGCCTGCCGAGGCTACACGGGGGAACTTTGTCTTTGTGTGCCACCTCGCGAGCTCGGGGCTCAGCGCTGCGCCCGCTGCACTCCGAACCCGGGCAGTCGGAGTGCGGATCCAAAGGCCACGACTGACCGCCAATGACGGTGAATGGCTTGAAGTGGCATTGGGGCCTCCCGCCTAGGTCGACTCAGCCTCAAAACGAGTACCCGGTACGTGTCGTGGGGGTAGTGGGGGGTGGTCGGTGTGGGGGGGTGTGGTGAGTTTGGTGGGTTTGGTGGGTGTGGGGGGTGTGGGGGATGTGGTGGGGGGTGTGGTGGGGGTGTGGGGGGTGTGGTGGGTGGTGTGGTGGGTTTGGTGGGGGGTGTGGTGGGTTTGGTGGGTGTGGGGGGTGTGGGGGGTGTGGTGGGTATGGTGGGGGGTGTGGTGGGGTGTGGTGGGTTTGGTGGGTGTGGGGGGTGTGAGGGGGTGTGGTGGGTATGGTGGGGGGTGTGGTGGGGTGTGGTGGGTTTGGTGGGTGTGGTGGGGGGTGTGGGGGGGTGTGGTGGGTATGGTGGGGGGTGTGGTGGGGTGTGGGAGGTTTGGTGGGTGTGGTGGGGGGTGTGGGGGGGGTGGTGGGTATGGTGGGGGGTGTGGTGGGGTGTGGTGGGTTTGGTGGGTGTGGTGGGGGGTGTGGGGGGGGTGTGGTGGGTATGGTGGGGGGTGTGGTGGGGTGTGGGAGGTTTGGTGGGTGTGGTGGAGGGTGTGGGGGGTGTGGTGGGTGTGGTGGGGGGGTTTGGTGGGTGTGGTGGGGGGGTTTGGTGGGTGTGGTGGGGGGTGTGGTGGGTGTGGTGGGGGGGTTTGGTGGGTGTGGTGGGGGGTGTGGTGGGGGGTGTGGGGGTGTGGTGGGTGGTAGGGGTTTGGTGGGTGTGGTGGGTGGTAGGGTGTGTGGGGGTGTGGTGGGGGGTGTGGGGGGGGTTTGGTGGGTGTGGTGGGTGTGTGGTGGGTGGTAGGGTGTGGTGGGGGGTGTGGGGGGGGTGTGGTGGGCACCGCGCACTTGGCCCGCACCCCACAGGGGGCAGCTGTGCCCACACGTGACCGGTGAGAAGTTGCCACGTCCACACACGCGGGTCACGTGGGCGGTGGGGTGGGGGGGGAGAGACCCCCCCCCCCTCTCTGCCACAACGCCCCCAAGGCGCCTCACGTTCGCTCAACTCGTCACGTGGCTGGAAACGTCACGAGCAGCACGCAGCTCGATCGTGAAGTCGCCGACGTTACGCCAACGTCGGCACGTGGTTGGATGCATTCGGCCAACGTTGCACGACCGTTGCACCAACGTTGGGTCAACGTTCCACTACGGCTTGAACGTTGGTAACGTTGCGCCCAAGTTGGCAAGGGTGGTCGGAACCATTAGACCAACGTTGCACCAACGTTCGAATGTGGTTTGAACGTTGGCCTAACGTTACGCCAACGTTGGTTCTTATCACGTTCAATATTTACGGGGGGGCGAGGCCCATTCAACCAGCAGTGGAGAGGCCAAGGCTCTCGCTGCACGGTGAAATTAATTGCACATCCTCGCAGATAGTCACGTGCAGGTCGTGGGTCGAAGTCATATCCCGTTCAAATGGGCACTCGTGAGCGTGTGGTGGAAATGCCACGTTCCTGTGACCGGGGCGAGTATATCCACAGGATAACCGGCTGTTGGCTTCCACGCACTCATGTTTGATCGACCACGCAGAAGGGGATGATGATGATGATGTGCCGTGTCAACCCCCACCCCGAAAAGCCACGATTTGACCTCGAAACTGGGTTGTTTGTTTTTTATTTAAAGCTTTCGTGACTGCAGGAATTCATATTATTGGTTCTTTCGGTAAAGTCACCACGTAGAAGGGAAACAATACTGTTTATTGTTTTATATTTTTATTATTTTATTGTTTCCCTTCTACGTGACTTTACCGAAAGAACCAAGAATATGGGTTGTTGATGTTGCGACGGAGGTAATTTTAGCGTCAGAGGAGCGCCGTGTGTCGATGTTCAATGAATGTGGCACCAAGTCACCGTCACTGTGTTCTTTGCGTCTTGCGGTAAAGTCACGTTGGTAGGTTCAAAGAAAACATTAACAACAAAAATTTCGACGTTTCGATCACAACACAAGCGATCGTCATCCATCGACGTGACTTTGCCGAAAGACCCAAAGAATATTAATTTCTGCAGTCACGAAAGCTTTAAGTCAAGATTTGACCGTCACTACCCATCGAGTCATACCAGGCTAGGTGCACGACGAGACTTTGCACACACACAGTGGCGACATCACCACAGCGCTTGTGCCAGGCTAGGTGCACGACGAGTCCTGACACACACACACAGCGGTGACATCACCACAGCGCTTGTGCCAGACTAGGTGCACGACGAGTCCTGACACACACACAGTGGTGACATCACCACAGCGCTTGTGCCAGGCTAGGTGCAACTTTTCCTCCCGTCACACAAAGACAAAGATTCACCCCCCCCCCCCCCCCGTATAGGCTTAACAGACTGTTGGGGGCAAGTGCTCCCTCCCTCACCTGGGCTCACCACCTCCCTCCCTCCCTCACCCTCCTGGCTCACCACCTCCCTCCCTCACCACCACCTCTCTCCCTCACCTGGTTCACCACCTCCCTCCCTCACCACCACCTCTCTCCCTCACCTGGTTCACCACCTCCCTCCCTCACCACCACCTCTCTCCCTCACCTGGTTCACCACCTCCCTCACCCTCCGCGCCAACTCGACGCTCGCGTCCGCCGCTCTCTGCGCCGTCTCGCGCGCCTCCCCCACGCGTGCCCAGGCGATGTAGAGATGCGCCCCGAGCACGACCCCGAGCACGACCCCGAGCAGCAGCAGCAGCCAGGTCACCCGGCCGCCGGTCGGCTTGGCCACGTCGCCCGCAGCGGTGGCGGTGGTGGCGGTGGTGGTGGTGGTCCCGACTCTTCCTCCTGCACCGCCAGCCCCGGGACCTCCTCTTTGTCTCACCACGGCCATGACGATGGCGACGAGGAGGGACGGATTGACGGTGGTGGGTTACGGAGGACACTCTGTGAGCTTGAGGAGGAGGAGGAGAAGGTCAGCTCCCGCTTAGTCTCTGCGAGCTGGGGGGTTTTGTAATGGAAGTTCGGCTCGGGAGAAGTGTGGCCCATATGCGCCACGTCCCCGCCTCTCCCTCCCCCTCCTCCCGCCGCCCCCGCTGCCCCCTCCCTCCCTCCCCTTCCTTCCTTCCCTCCCCTCCTGCTCCCTAAAAAAACTACCGAAGCGGGCGGTGGTGCGATGGGGGGGGGCGAGCAAAGCGGCGCAGCCGCTGCGATTTTAATGGCTCCGTTTTGGGAGTGGTTGGTACGGAGGGAGGGGGGAGCTCGAGTCGAGAAGAGCTTCCTCTGTCTCCCATTCCCATAAAACTCACTCATCCCCTGCCCCTCCTCCTGCTCCTCCACTTACTGACAGCCGGGCATGGGCGCCACACTCAAGGACTGACGCTCCGGAGGCAGGGGCGGAGCCAGGATTTCAGACCGGGGTGACATTCAACAAATGTTAAGTTCAAGAATGATTAAGAGAGAGTCAGGCTGTTGAACTTAGACGCCATCGGTTGGCGGACACGCTCTGACAATGCAGTTGCACGGAGTTCGCCAGACCGAGTGTCGTACACTTGCAGAATGTCACCCCCCCCCTGTCACCCCCCCTGGCTCCGCCCCTGTCCGGAGGGCTTGATCACAGTTGAGTTTTTGTGTTTGGGGGAGTTTGAGGGAGGGTCCCACTGGCTTCTCGCTCTGCGTGGTAGCCGCTCCCTCGCCTTTCCACTCGATCCTTACCACGGCAGCAGCAGCAGCAGCAGCGATACGGTTCAGGAGCTCGGTGTGCCAATGTCGAGGTCTCGCTGCTGCTGCTGCTGCGACGAGAGGCCTTCAGCAGCAGAGAGAGTTTCGTGTCCGCTCTTCCTCCTCCTGCATTGAAGGAGCGCTGACGACAGCGTGGTCCAGATGTCTTGTGACTCCCAATGAATTGAACACGTATTTTCAGTTTCCCCGTTGCCTATTCATTTCTGTTTTAAGTAAACCTTTACTTTCAAACGCACACATCAAAGTTTTAAACAGTAAAATGGGGAGGGGGGTCACAAGACATCTGGACCACCCTGGTGGGTCCGTGGTTGCTGCCACCACAACACCACCGAGGGGGCTTCTCGCGCAGGGCCCCACGGCTGCCCCAAGCGGGGCGAGGGCACGGGGCAGCGATGCAGCGTGGAGGTTGGACGGCGACATCGGAGCCACGTGGGGAGTCCAGCCTCGCTGTGGGTCTCGCTTCCGCCTCTTCCCCCATCTCATCCTCACCCCCTCCTATTACACCTCCTGCCACCCCCATCTAACCTCTTCCACCACCTCCTCCTCCTCATCTCCTCCTCTTCCACCTCCTTCTCAACCATCTCCTCCTCTTCCACCTCCTCATCTCCTCCTCTTCCACCTCCACCTCCTCATCTCCTCTTCCACCTCCTCCTCAACCATCTCCTCCTCTTCCACCTCCACCTCCTCATCTCCTCCTCTTCCACCTCCACCTCCCCGTCTCCTCCTCTTCCACCTCCTCCTCAACCATCTCCTCCTCTTCCACCTCCTCCTCATCTCCTCTTCCACCTCCTCCTGAACCATCTCCTCTTCCACCTCCACCTCCCCGTCTCCTCCTCTTCCACCTCCTCCTCATCTCCTCTTCCACCTCCTCAACCATCTCCTCCTCTTCCACCTCCTCCTCCCCGTCTCCTCCTCTTCCACCTCCTCCTCAACCATCTCCTCTTCCACCTGCACCTCCCCGTCTCCTCCTCTTCCACCTCCTCCTCATCTCCTCTTCCACCTCCTCCTCAGCCATCTCCTCCTCTTCCACCTCCACCTCCCCGTCTCCTCCTCTTCCACCTCCTCCTCAACCATCTCCTCCTCTTCCACCTGCACCTCCCCGTCTCCTCCTCTTCCACCTCCTCCTCATCTCCTCTTCCACCTCCTCCTCAACCATCTCCTCCTCTTCCACCTCCACCTCCCCGTCTCCTCCTCTTCCACCTCCTCATCTCCTCTTCCACCTCCTCAACCATCTCCTCCTCTTCCACCTCCTCCTCCCCGTCTCCTCCTCTTCCACCTCCTCCTCAACCATCTCCTCCTCTTCCACCTGCACCTCCCCGTCTCCTCCTCTTCCACCTCCTCCTCATCTCCTCTTCCACCTCCTCCTCAGCCATCTCCTCCTCTTCCACCTCCACCTCCCCGTCTCCTCCTCTTCCACCTCCTCCTCAACCATCTCCTCCTCTTCCACCTGCACCTCCCTGTCTCCTCCTCTTCCACCTCCTCCTCATCTCCTCTTCCACCTCCTCCTCAACCATCTCCTCCTCTTCCACCTCCACCTCCCCGTCTCCTCCTCTTCCACCTCCTCCTCAACCATCTCCTCCTCTTCCACCTGCACCTCCCCGTCTCCTCCTCTTCCACCTCCTCCTCATCTCCTCTTCCACCTCCTCCTCAGCCATCTCCTCCTCTTCCACCTCCACCTCCCCGTCTCCTCCTCTTCCACCTCCTCCTCAACCATCTCCTCCTCTTCCACCTGCACCTCCCCGTCTCCTCCTCTTCCACCTCCTCCCCGTCTTCTCCTCTTCCACTTCCTCCTACCCTCATCTCCCCTTGGGGGGGTATCAGCAGCTTCTGGTGCACCGATGCACTTATTCAGTAACACGTGACACCTGATGCTTCGTTAACAGTGTTGCACAAACAACAACAACAAATACATCAACACGCTCCATGTCAACAACAACAACAACGACGTGTGTTTATGTGTGACCTTTCAGCAAAAACAATAATGGGTGACGTTTTGGGGTCAATGCCTCTTCATCACAGTGCTATGCAGAAGGGACTGCAACCGCAACGTCATCTATGACATTTAATTGTTTCAAGGCCATGCCCAGGGTGCGTCTGTGTGTCTCCTCTGTGCGAGTCTGTGGGTCTCCTCTGTGCGAGTCTGTGTGTCTCCTCTGTGCGAGTCTGTGTGTTTCCTCTGCGTCCGTGTGTCTCCTCTGTGCGAGTCTGCGGGTCTCCTCTGTGCGAGTCTGTGTGTCTCCTCTGTGTCTGTGTGTCTCCTCTGTGCGAGTCTCCTCTGTGCGAGTCCGTGTGTCTCCTCTGCGTCCGTGTGTCTCCTCTGTGCGAGTCTGCGGGTCTCCTCTGTGCGAGTCTCCTCTGTGCGAGTCTGCGGGTCTCCTCTGTGCGAGTCTGTGGGTCTCTGTGCGAGTCTCTGTGTCTCCTCTGCGTCCGCGTGTCTCCTCTGTGCGAGTCTCTGTGTCTCCTCTGCGTCCGTGTGTCTCCTCTGTGCGAGTCCGCGTGTTTCCTCTGTGCGAGTCTGTGCGTCTCCTCTGTGCGAGTCTGTGTGTCTCCTCTGTGCGAGTCTGTGTGTCTCCTCTGTGCGAGTCTGTGTGTCTCCTCTGTGCGAGTCTGTGTGTCTCCTCTGTGCGAGTCTGTGTGTCTTCTCTGTGCGAGTCTGTGTGTCTCCTCTGTGCGAGTCTGTGTGTCTCCTCTGTGCGAGTCTTTGTGTCTCCTCTTTGCGAGTCTGTGTGTCTCCTCTGTGCGAGTCTGTGTGTCTCCTTTGTGCGAGTCTGTGTGTCTCCTTTGTGCGAGTCTGTGTGTCTCCTCTGTGCGAGTCTGTGTGTCTCCTCTGTGCGAGTCTGTGGGTCTCCTCTGTGCGAGGCTGTGTGTCTCCTCTGTGCGAGTCTGTGTGTCTCCTCTGTGCGAGTCTGTGTGTCTCCTCTGTGCGAGTCTGTGTGTCTCCTTTGTGCGAGTCTGTGTGTCTCCTTTGTGCGAGTCTGTGTGTCTCCTCTGTGCGAGTCTGTGTGTCTCCTCTGTGCGAGTCTGTGTGTCTCCTCTGTGCGAGTCTGTGTGTCTCTGTGGGATCCTATCGGGCCCCACAGGACGGTGTTGTGAGTCTATGGCCAGAAGGTGGAAGGCGAACGTCAGGCCAGGTCGTGGATGTCGCTGCGTGTCTCTATCAGTGCAGCAGCTGCGTGTCTCTCTTGTGCAGCAGCTGCGTGTCTGTCTTGTGCAGCAGCTGCGTGTCTGTCTTTTGCAGCAGCTGCGTGTCTGTCTAGTGCAGCAGCTGCGTGTCTCTCTTGTGCATCAGCTGCGTGTCTCTCTTGTGAAGCAGCTGCGTGTCTCTCTAGTGCATTAGGTGCGTGTCTCTATCAGTGCAGCAGCTGCGTGTCTTTATCAGTGCAGCAGCTGCGTGTCTCTCTGGCGCAGCAGCTGCGTGTCTCTATCGGTGCAGGAGCTGCGTGTCTCTCTGGTGCAGCAGCTGCGTGTCTCTCTTGTGCATCAGCTGCGTGTCTCTATCAGTGCAGCAGCTGCGTGTCTCTCTGGTGCAGCAGCTGCGTCTCTCTTGTGCAGCAGCTGCGTCTCTCTTGTGCAGCAGCTGCGTGTCTCTCTTGTGCATCAGCTACGTGTCTCTTTTGCAGCAGCTGCGTGTCTATATCAGTGCAGCAGCTGTGTGTCTCTTGTGCATGAGCTACGTGTCTCTCTAGTGCATCAGCTGCGTGTCTCTATCAGTGCAGCAGCTGCGTGTCTCTAGTGCAGCAGCTGCGTGTCTCTATCAGTGCAGCAGCTGCGTGTCTCTCTGGTGCAGCAGCTGCGTGTCTCTCTTGTGCATCAGCTGCGTGTCTCTATCAGTGCAGCAGCTGCGTGTCTCTCTGGTGCAGCAGCTGCGTCTCTCTTGTGCAGCAGCTGCGTGTCTCTCTTGTGCATCAGCTACGTGTCTCTTTTGCAGCAGCTGCGTGTCTCTATCAGTGCAGCAGCTGTGTGTCTCCTGTGCAGCAGCTGCGTGTCTCTCTAGTGCATCAGCTGCGTGTCTCTATCAGTGCAGCAGCTGCGTGTCTCTCTAGTGCATCAGCTGCGTGTCTCTATCAGTGCAGCAGCTGCGTGTCTCTCTTGTGCAGCAGCTGCGTGTCTCTAGTGCAGCAGCTACGTGTCTCTCTTGTGCATCAGCTGCGTGTCTCTCTAGTGCAGCAGCTGCGTGTCTCTCTAGTGCAGCAGCTGTCTCTAGTGCAGCAGCTGCGTATCTCTAGTGCAGCAGCTGCTTCTCTCTAGTGCAGCAGCTGTCTCTAGTGCAGCAGCTGTGTCTCTCTGGTGCAGCAGCAGTTGTCCCTCAACCCGTGCAGCAGCTGCGTGTCTCTACCAT